CGAGTATAACTCTACATCGAGTTAAATCGATTAGTTCTACGATTTCCTCAGGTACGAACGAAGGTCACTGCGGCTTTGATGAATGATCTATACATAATCACGAGCCTTTGGAGGTTTCGACTAATACGTATTCTAGACGCCATAAATTATATTTTTTACCTGAGCCTTGTTTAAAGGTTCGATAAATTTATCTTACATTAAAGACTTTTAATTTATCAACGTTGAACGTTTACATTAACTTACGAAATAAGATTTCTTATGAGCAAGATTATGTCCTTTAAGGTTTAGGTACAGCCAAAATTGTTATTACAATTTAAAACATGTCTTATAGAATAGCTCTTGCTACTGCTCTATTATTAAACTTAATTTATATTATTTAGCAGCAGTGTTGTACTAGTGGCTTCACCTTGCGATTATCATCCCTGAGGTCGTAGGTTCGATCCCCGGGTGAGCATCAATGGACTTTCTTTTTATGTGCGCATTTAACATTTTTACTCGAACGGTGAAGGACAACATTGTGAGGAAACCGGCTTGCCTTTTGACCCAAAAAAGTCAGGCACAGCAGGCTGATCACCTACTTGCCTGTTAGATTGACAAATGATTCTGAAACAGATACATAAATCTGAGGCTGACCTAAAAAGGTTGTAGCCCTACAGATTTTTTATATATATTATTTAACACAAAGAAAAATATACGAAATGACCATCTGGAGATTTAATTCTAAATCATAGCTTACGTAACACCGTATTCATTTGGCGGTGACCGGTTGAAAGCGAAGTTTTGATGTTTAGGAGTTCACGGCCGACCTTGGCATCAATATACAAATGTTGTTTCTGTGTCACACAGTGCGCCTGCGCCGGCAGGGCTGCCAACTGTCACAGATGATTTAACGATAATTTTATCGTTACATTTATTCAAATTCCTTTGTAACGGATTACATTTCTTTTTCATTATTCTTGGAACACAGTAATATTTTTTCGTGGTAATTATTTAGCTTAGTGGCTTTATATGACATGTTCCATATCTGGTTCTAGGTTCCGCTTCATGATAACAATAATTGATGCGGGTTATCAGGCATAGAACTAAAAGGGATAGCGGAAGAGATTGTAGCGAAGATGAGAGACAAATGGAAGAATTTGGAGAATGCTTCAACTTCGTCGGAGGTCTTGTACCAATATTAAATATAGTAACATAAACTTAATGTAATCTTTAAAGGTTAAAGGATGTTGGACTCCGCAAAGTCTCCGCACTTTGACTCGTACTAGGTCCGTTGTGCGTAATGTCGTGGCTAACTAAGCCAGCCTAGCTCCTTTCAAAAGCACAGAAGTCTCCTGGGCACTTCGCAGGCTTCACGAAGGGACCGCACTGCTCATTCCAGGACTACGTGGATGACTTCTCTGCGCTGAAACAGCCTTAATAGCCATATAGTACTATAACAATGTAATCCTTACTATAGTAGTCGAATACAGGCTATTTTTATTTTTATTGTCCAGACAACATAATAAAACAGCCTTAAAAATTAATTAATCCATCCGATACATGATCATTAATAAATTTAGATTCAAGGGTATAGCGATTTACTTTTCATATTAAATTACCATTACCTTGGTTAAGACAGTTTGACGAAGACCGCATCCAAAATATTAGTTACTTGTGTGCAATCTAGTGGAAGTAATAAACAGATTATTTTATTGAACATAACAGAGGGCAAACGGACAGGGGGCTCACCTGATGTTTAGTGATATCGCCGACCATCGATATGTGACCAACAGTCGCATTGGCTTTTAAGAATTGGTACGATGTTTTCTTGAAGGAATTTGGAGACTTCCTTTGCCGGGCTTTTCAAATAGTGCGTTCTTGTAGACGATTTAGCGACTAAATACTGTTAGTTAAAGTAGTTATTACGCTTGCACTCTTGCAGTAAGTTCACCTACGTAGTAAGACAATGAACGACTACTTCAATTCACTTGACAAGAAATTCAAAAGACATGAAATGCAAGCACACCACACCACTTGAAATTTTCCATAATAACATGTCAACATATTTAATTATAAGACAAGTGCACAGGCGCTAATTAAAGATATAAGTAGACGCCCGGTAGATAGTACCGGTGACCCCAGAGCTGGTGCTTTCCTCACTCGCTCACAGGGGCCAGGAAAAACTTCAAACCTCATAAATGGTTTTGCTTGGATTTTGATACTAAAGTCGAAACCGTTTACGACGACATCGTGTAGAACATACCGGTTATATTGACCAACATTTTTTTAATCACGTCATCGGCTATTACGACTATCGGTTTTCCGACCAAATATGATTAGTCCCTTCAATGTCGTTATAACAGATTTTGACAGTAGTATTATGCACGATAATAAAATAAATGTAAAAAAATTGTACGCATCAAAAGCCCAAATTCACTTAGACAAGTAGACGTAAAGATAGTATATGTAGAAGAAATTTTATGTAAAATCACTTTAAAATCGCGTAATTCCTTTGGAATGACATTATTGTTTATTTTGATTGGCTAAAAACTATAAATAACTAAGATAAGTTGTATTGCGATGCTGTTACGGCGAGACAAACGCGCAAACGCTGGGATTATCTACCAGTGCCTTTACTCGGTAACTCCGAACAATATTCACTGTTGTGTTTTTGATTCACGTTATCCCAAGGATACTTCAGCGCTGCGGAGAGAGAACTATATCGCAATACATTAGTATTACTTGACGTCCGTCGTACAACAACTGAGCGTTTCTTAAAGCAATTTCTGCCGTGCACCACCACTATGTGGAACCCACTGTAGAATTTCCGAACCAATTCGACTTCAGAAAAGAGCGTACCAAATCTAAAAAGGCCGGCAGCGCGCTTGCGAGCCTTCTGGCAGTGCAAGTGTCCATGGGCGGCGGTATCAATAAACATCAGTTGAGCCTCCTGCCAGTCTGCCTCCTGTAACTTAAAAAAAATAGGATTATCATAAAAATAACTCTTTTTGACGTACGGGAATCAGATTTCTACCCAGAGCCTACTCTAAATGTATACTTAGTTTTATTTAGGTTAGAAGAATACTTGTAAGTAGAGCAAACAAAACGGTGTGCATACCTAAAAATAATATCGTAACTGGCTTACATACTTGTAATCTTGTTCTGACGTTCTAAACTAATTAACTCATTTCTACGACAGAGAGTTCATTTTCTTTATTTATCTCAATAAGCCGTACAAGTTATCCTGTTCACATGTTTTGTTTACCCTATAAAATAAATCAGTCGCGCTACTAAATTTTTTTTAGCCTGGGCCTTAGATTTCTGTATCTGTTTCATGATCATGTTTCCTCACGATGTTTTCCATCACCGAGCGAGTGAATGATAAAAGCGCACATTGAAGGAAAGTCCATTGGTGCACAGCCGGGGTTCGAACCTACGACCTCATGGATGAGATGCCAACAATGCTCTTGCTCTTTTACCTTATATACAATATTAATAATATGTATTTGCACGAAGCCAATACTTCCAACCTATTGAGGTTAGTATAGCCTATATTTTCCAAGAGTGTTTGAAAAACGATATATAGATTATTTTATAGATAAACAGTTCTCCCTAATGATTATGTCAAATGTCAGAAATTACAGAAAATAAAGAATAAATCGTCAGGCATTTAAGATTTCTTCTAAACACACACGCCCCAACAACTATTTATATTTTTTTTTCCTACCACTTTTTACGAACACAATACTTCCCACTTGTTAATCGTCAGATTCATACCTATCAGAAAGACAAAGTGCGTATACACAATGAATGTCCGACGCGCATGTCTTTTACATTTTTGGAAAATTGTTCACGTTCTGGCACTAAAACGGGAAAAAATAACATATACTTTTTTTCGTTTTAGAAAAAATCAGCACAATCGAATGACGCTTTAGTAGCAAATTTAGGGTCCCAGGCTCCACTACTAAATCGTTTCTACCTCTTATTTCTCTGAGCTAATCACTCGGTATTTTATTCTGTAGAAATTGCCTAAATTATTATGTATAAATAATATTTCTGTGATAGATCGAACGGAATCGGTGATCGAAGAACGGGAAGCTCTTCGCAGAGATGTAAAAAACAAAAAGAAAATATTTCTACTATTCAATGTTTGTATAAACTATGGCAGCTATTTGAATCTATTTTTATCCTGTTGCTGGCAATGGTTGGCGTGACATTGGTTGAGTTGGCGCCTTTTGTGACGTCACAATTGTTTCGCACAGTGGTTCTGTTGAATGATGTGTTTGTATTGTGAAAACCCCGTATGATGAAGACATGACGTAATTGATACGATATTGTTTTGTTATAATAGTCACTTTGCTAAATAGTTTTCTCACACGAGATTGTGGAAGGTGAATAGTTATAACATACGCTTCACAAGACTGATGCAGTAATGGAAAGGTACCAAAAGAAGATATATACGGGCGTTCCAACCCTAGCAGTGCACTAGTGGATTGTTCTTACCTTTAAAAAAGAATTCTCATAGAATAGATACAAAGATCACGGGTTTCACTGAAACGCTCTAAGCTCTTCAATTGTAGGCAAGGACAATACCTCCAATTGAAGAGCTTAAAAAAATATAAGGTATTTTTTGGCTTTGTGTTTCAGCGCAGATATTCCTTTAATCAAGGTTTCTTGTTAAATTTATAGCTACGTTTTAAAGTAGGTAACAATTAGCAATAAAATTCTAAGTGCAAATATTAATTTTCGTAACTTATGATTTACTTTCTAAGCGGAAGTCTACGAAGTGGTTACGACGTAGACTCTATTTTATGTTTCTGTAGGCTTTCATTAGATATTGTTTATTTTTAATTGGTCATATTAGTGTCATACGTACGTTTTTAATAAACTTTTACGATTAGCTATGAATCGATATAAAAATATGTGTTGTTTTCAGTATAAAGTTCAGTTCGTTCTCTCTCTTTCGTTATGGCCACTACTGGTATTAGTTTGCTAAACGTTTTTCTTTATTAATAATAATAATGGTCCCAGCTATTAACAAGCATCTTTTAAAACAAAATACACGTCAATTAAAAGGAGTGGTGTTGAAAAGTTTGTTGCCAGTTTATTTCGTCTATTCTACGTACTTGATAAATATAGTAGTATTAAATGATAATTTACATACAGTTTTTTGAGGTTCATAAGTGTACAACATTACCTACATAAAGATACAGAAATATATTTGATTTTAAATAACAGAAACATACACACAGATAATTCAGCTTAACTTTGAATTTACTTCAGATAAACTGTATTCTAAGACGTCTTTGTTTTTTATTTGATCTTTTAGTTTACTTTTTATTAAATACAGCCTTAAAGCCTTCCTGAAGATCGGTCGTTGGCCGTACCATGACGTGCCATGTTCGTGCAACCACAATGCATGCAGCCTTAATCGACTATCACAGATTATCGTCAATAAAATGCCAAACGCAAACATGCGTATTTCAAAAAATGTCCCATTTATATCTTTACGTCACGCAAAATTGATCAAAAAATAATCCAACGATTTTTTTCACGGAATCACTCATTTTCTTTGGAAAATGGATTAAATTTCTTTAAACTAAGCGATTAATCTAATACACTACCACAGCTGCCCACTGAAGTACTTCCGAACCAATTCGACTTACGCCTTTTTGGCCCCCCCCCCCCCGCGGGGGGGGCGGGGGGGCGGGGGGAAAAGGGGGGGGGGGGGGGGGGGGGGGGGGGGGGGCGGGGGCGGGGGGGCCCGGGGGAAAGCAAAGAAAAGCGTGGGGGGGGGGGGGGGGGGGGGGGGCGGGGCGGGTTGCAAGCGGGGTCGGCCCGGTCCCCCCCGGCCGCTGGGGGGGGGGGGGGGGGTTAAAGAGCCCAAAAAAAAAAAAAAACGAAAATTATTAAAAAAAAAAAAAAAAAAAAAAAAAATTTTCACGGCTTCCATGGGGCAAATTTCTCCCCCCCCGAACGCGGGGCGGGGGGGCGGGGGGGGGGGCGGACCGCGGGGGGGGGGGGGGGGGGCGGCGGGGGCCAGCCTCTGCGCGGTGGTGGGCGAAAAAAAAAAAAAGGAGGCACCAACACATCTTTTTTATTTATAAGGGGGGGAGAAAAAAAAAAAGAAAAAGGGGGCAAAACAAAAAAAAAGTTTTTGTTGTTTTGGTTGCGCCATGCGGTTGCGTGGGTGTACTAAAGGCGTTAGGGTCCTTCAAGAACTTCTTAAAAGTCCGGTAATGCAGTCGCGAGCCCTCTGGCATTGAGTGTCCATGGGCGGCGGTATCACTTAACATCAGATGAGCCTCCTTAACCCTGTTCTATAAAAAAATATAAAGATGTCGTAAATTAAATTAGATTAACAGACCCAACTCAATATTTTTTTACATATAGTGTGTACAGTTGTTAAACAAAATAAATATAACAAATTTGGTAAAAAATCACCTCCTAATTCTCAGCAGACGCAGCCGCGTGCTTGTGGAGTAGAGGTATAAATAGGAAAGAGTCTATGACCTCATGAAACATAAATAGAACTTATTACTTGCAATCGGATTGCGTTTATTTGCGATATTTGGCAGATGCATTGAATGAAACAATTGAACTTGGCGGATATTGACGTGACTCATAATTCAACGAAATTTCAAGGGCCTGTATAGGTGACGCGTTTGATCTAGGGCTGGCGAATAAAGCTATTGTACTTTAAAGTGATTTAATATTAAGTAATATAAATAAAAATAAGTATGCAGAAACAAATGAGCAGTGTTGGGCTAATGGCTACAACTTGCGACTCTCATCCCTGAGGTCGTAAGTTCGATCCCCGGCTGTGTTCTAATAGACTTTCCTTCTAAAATTCGCTAGAACGCTGAAGGAAACCATCGCGAGGAAACTGGCTTGCCTTAGACCTAAGAAGAAGCGTTAGGCACAGAAGGCTCACCTAAATTCAGTTGTAATTATTTTAGCAAGTGTATTAAACTGTTGCATTGTATCGAACATATTATGTATGCTTCGCCGTAGGATCTAATTACCTAGTAAATTTGTATAATCTGAACTGCGGAAAAAATAAGTAATATAGACATAAATTGTCATCTATTTTAAATCAAACACATAACTTGTCAAAAATCCAAGTAATTATCTACCATAAAAGGTTGTGAGATCCATGTAATACCAAGTCGGTCAATTTATTCAGTCTCTCCCCCCCGGGGACTTAAGCGACCTACTTAAATTATTACGTACTTAGCTGACCTGACAACATCTGATAGCGACCATTGATCTTAAAAATCTTGTTATTAATAAATAGCTTGACTTGGCAATCAAATTCAGGCTTTTATTTGATTTTTATCCATAACGAAGGAATAGGGGGTCGACAATCGCCTGAACTGTTACGAGAAAAGGATGGTACGGCCGTGTCGCTTGACTTGGCCGATTACATATTTTTTACGGTCAGATAATTTAAATAGTTTAAAAGCTCTTAGTTTTGGCTATATTCAACGTATTTTTTATGTTTCTATATAAATACATAGATTATGATACTAAACACAATATTTTTGTTACAGATGAACAGGAAAGAGTACAGAAGAAAACGTTTGTTAACTGGATCAATTCACACTTATCGAAGGTATTGTTCATTAATTTAATAACATTTTCAAGCATAAATTTCTATGCAAGCTTCACGTATTTGTAAAAAAACTGCCTCCGTGGCTTAGTGGTCACTTACAAGTTGTATTCACTAGCCCGAGTCTAGGAAGAGCTGTAATTGTATCGGGTTGGTAAACAAATAAATAATAGTTTAAAAAACTAGAAAAAAAATTAGTAAAAACTACTCTGTGCCATATTTTTCGTCTATCCAGCAACCCACGCTTTTTCACAATAATACCAGTATATTTTGTTCATTACCATTTTCAGCCTAAATTAGGAATTATTTTTCACTTTTTAGTTTAATGTTCTTTAAAAGCGTGTGTTCTAGTTTTTTAAACTAGGTATTATTTATTTTTAGTTAAATGATTTTTTTTTTTCGGATTATTGCATTGTCCTCGATCTTTGACAGGTGCGCAAAATTTGAATTAAATCTGTCCGTTAGAAGTGGGTCAAAAATCGAGTCCGAAGGAGTCGGTTACATACATACATACATACATACATACATACATACATACATACATACATACATACATACATACATACATACATACATACATACATACATACATACATACATACATACAGGTGAAGCTAATATAAAGCGTGTAAAAATAATTGGAATGCCTTTTTATTATTATAATATCTAATGTCTGGGCTATGCCTGCCATTATATGTTTTTCTTTACAAGGATGTATGGCATTATCACTATTTATTTAACGCGTAAATAGGTAAATAGGTTATATGTTTAAAATTACATTTTAGTCTCAGTTACGCTCTATGTTTTACTTATATTATAATATATTTAATTTTACGCCAGCTATAGACTTTTCAATTCATAATTTGTTTGACAGAGAATACCTCCCTTGCGAATCGACGACCTTATCTACGACTTACGAGATGGAACCAAACTATTGGCGTTGTTGGAAGTTTTGTCTGGCGAGAAATTGGTAAGTAAACTGTATTTATGTTATATACTGTCTCTGTAATAGTTTAACGCAAAAATATCTCTGCCCTATAACCCTTAAACAACGCGACAACAGCGAGCTTCCATGGGTTATGGGCTAGTTGGTTGAACTTCCGTTTGTCCTATACCACAACAAAATTACACGGAAATAGTTGTTCCAATCTCTATTCGTAAATTGCTTACTTAATATTTAGGTAGACAGCATTGTTGAAATAAAACGCACTTGAAAAACAACGAGGGCGAACAGAACGTGTGAGAAAGAGGGCCTCCGAGAGCGAGAGAGCCAACTAAAGTTAACATTGTACTATAATATTCTATTAGGATGCCGGGAAATATTTTTTAAGGGATTTGCCTGGCCTCCCATGACCGACGTCATGATTGATCCACTGTTTTTCTTTCACCTTAGAAAAACGTAATCAAAGATTATCGCAATTGAAAGAAAGAAAGAAGAAGAGAAAGAAAACACTTTATTACACAAAATTAAAAAGGGAAGTGTATTGTTAGAAGAGAAAGTGCACTAGTGTGTGGTGTGGGGGCTCACTAGGATTCCCTGCGTCGTGGGCAGCTAGTCTCTTCCTTGTCATTTGACATATTTTTAGTTTTAGTTTAGTAATAAATTTTATTTATAAGCTACAATTGCTCAAGAAGAATACTTTCGGTTTCAGCATAGGACAGGTTTGGAAGGTGTTGCTTAAGATTGTTGAACATTTTGTTTATAACAAAGTGGTTAAAGATGAAAGGGCCTCTGTGTAGGTACCCAAAGTGCGTTTTTTGGGTAGCTTATATGTCGGTTTGCGCAGTGTATGATGTGGTGTGGTCGGTGATTGTTTCCAAAAACGTCGGCATACATAAGGTATAGTCAAGTGTTAGAAGTTTTGTTTCATCGTACAAAGTTGAAGTTGGGAAGCGAGGATTCATATAATATACTAGCTGATCCGGCAAACGTCGTTTTGCCATGTTTATCATTTATAATAAAAAATAGGGGTTGATCGTAGAGGGGTGAAAATTAGGGGTTGTATGTATTTTTTTAATGCTGTATCATAAAAAAATAAAAAATAAGTAATTTATCTAAAAATTTAAAAAAATAATTTAAGGGTGGACTACCCTTAAAATTTAGGGGGATGAAAAATAGATGTTGTCCGATTCTCAGACATACCCAATAAGCACACAAAATTTCATGAGAATCGGTCAAGCCGTTTCGGAGGAGTTTAACTACAAACACCGCGACACGAGAATTTTATATATTAGATTAAGAACAATTTATGATATCAGTTACGATGTAATATTAACAGGATATTTATAAAGCGTTCTAGAGCTATAAACACAAATGATGATCTATATTCTAGCGTTACAGCGATCGGCTTACATAAATCTGATCGTGGTTTATTGGATTTCACTAAAACCAGACTCAAGATTACGACGTAAATTTTTTATGACTTCTGCATTTAATTGAATAAAGATTAGCTCAAATTGTACTTAACTGAAATCATCGTTGAAGGATAATTATAATTGGATTTAATTTAATAAACTAATGTTATCGTCACGATACCTAGATTCATGTGGCTTCTATATGTAGTACTAATAATTACTTATAATGATTTTGGTACGTTTCTAACGAATAAACTCAAAAACTACTAGACTTACTTCATAAATACTTTCACCGTTGAAATGTAAAAGGGCAACCCAAAGAGCCCAGGCTCTATTTATAAATGGCGAGCCTTACAGAGCCGGAACGGGCCACTAGTCATTATAAAAACCGTATCTAAAAAAGAAGAAACATTATTTAGTGACATGGTTTTTTTTTAAATTTCCTTATTTCCTATTTTTACAGTAACTTAATACTAATACAATAGAAAACTAAACTAAAAACATATTATAAACATAACAAGTAAAAACTTGAAACCTGAACCTTTTTATAACTAATTATAAATAATGCAATTCTTGTGCCAGTGTGCAACTAAATATATCCGTCTCACAAGCAATAGTGTTTAGGGTGCGCAAGACACGCGTAAATGATGCTTCTCTGAGTAAATTCTGGAGGTACTGCCAGCACCTTACCACGCTGAGTGTGGTTATTTGGCACACGCAGCCCCAGTCTCTCAAAGCTTATATGCATTTGTCGCGCTCCTAAACAAGACTGCTATGGTTACATTTATACAAACCACAGCGGTTTTCTAATGTAACATATTATTATTGTATTATATTATTTTGTAAAATAAAGGAATAAACAAAAAAAAAATAAGTGAAAATATACAAATTAGTCTTAATTAACTGTCTTACTGTCTTGTTGTACTTATTAATCAAATTGTTTTAACATGTACTTATTTACAATCGAATCCATTTATTCTTTATAAACATTTTTGAATACGAAATTATTGACTTTTTCAGCCTATGGAGCGTGGTAGAGTCTTACGTCGACCCCATTTCCTCTCAAACGCCAATACAGCACTTCGCTTCCTGGCGGGAAAACGCATCAAGCTGGTGAACATCAACGCAGCGGACCTGGTTGATGGAAGACCAGCGGTAGTTCTGGGGCTCATATGGACTATCATTTTGTACTTCCAGGTATGTTTCTGTTCCACAATCTTTAACGAAAACTCTATATGAAACGATATGAAATTTTAAATGTAAAATCTCCAATAACAGTCTAATCAAATTGCGTACGTCAGGAGTGTAGAAAAAATACACCAAAGATTATTAAATTATTTTTCAAACAATTTGAAAACATTTTTGTTTAAATTTAGTAGCTTTAGTCATAGTATCACGAAATTGTAGTTCACATAGGTACACGGTCGTGATTCACGAAATAGGCTTAGAACTTAGAGAGAAAGTTGTCTAGACTGAAAAGCACCGTCACTTGTAAGGAAATTGCCTATTTACAGAAATCAGTGTTTATTTTGTAATTTGTTTCTATTTTATTTTAAACACGGTTTAGGAATGAAGCCAAAATATTATCATACTTTAAGCTAACAAAATCAAGGCAGATGTGACAACACAGTGTGATATTATTGCACTTTCTGTTACAATAAGTAATAATTTCTCTGCTCTGTTTCTTCACCTATTTAAACTGGTTACAAACACGCAGTTCTGATGATATTACCGTTGACAAATTTTTGAATTTGAAATCAAACTGTGTGTTTGTATCAAAGGACATGCTCAAAAGCAAGTCTATCGTTTTAATTGGCTTGAATATAATTTGTTTGCGCAAGCTTCGCTCAGTGTATTGGGCCTACAGGATAATGGACGAAAGGTGGGTAGACGCAAGCTTTTGTTTTGCACGATCTATTTCAATTTTATTTTTTTAAGCTTTAATTATGTTTCTTTTTATTGACACTTACAGGTATGTAGAATTTGGTTCATAAGAATTTAGTAGAATTAGGATGTGATGGCTTTATTATTTCGTTATGAATGTTCTTAATTTAAGTATTTGTTATGTTTGAACTCCCATTATACTTACATAAAAACTAAATCGGACATTTTATTGTTTTATTAAATTATTAGTTTTTTCTGTGTTTACAATGAAAGTGATTGTAGTTAGAACTGTAATAATATTATAGTTTTTATCAATAAGATAAAGGAGAAATAAACTTCTCTGTCAATAACTAATCTTGGTTATCTGAAATGCGTTACAGTCGGGGTGGGGTATATTTGCCCTGAATTGCACTTTTTATGAATCTTTTTTTTATTTCTAGCAGCTTATTATTATTTAAATAATTATATTGTTTTTTTCTTTTCACGTGGAATCGCTTCACAGCTTATGTTATGTATGTATTTACTAAACAAAGCAGAAATATCACACCGTGTGTAGTAGCAAATGCACGTTACACTTAAATATTGTAAAATCACGTGAAATGCTATACAGTTTGTAGATTTTAAGTAGCAACGACATTTTTCATATATTTGCAATATTGTAGCGAGAATTTTAAAATATACTTACTATATATATATAATAAATATACTTCGTTCTTTGCCAAAATAACGATACATATATGATTGCTTATGAACGTAAATTATATAAACATTACTAAAAAGAACGAATGAAAATAGATACGAAAGCCAATAAACTTTCGTACATTTTACAAATAAGTTAACAAAAAAACCTATCTGCCAGTCTCAAACATACACAGCTATAAACTTAACCAGGCCGCTTGCCAAACATGACCTGATATTTCTTCCCTATCACTAGATCGAAGAGAACAGCCGAGCCCTAGAGTACCTCAGTGGATCGCGATGTGCGTCTGTCATGTCGCAGGAGTCCGGAACTGCGACACCGACACACAGAGCTGAAGACCGCTGGAAGCAGGGAGCCAAGAAGACCTTGCTGCAATGGGTGGCCAATGCGTTGCCTAAGTAAAGAACATTATTTTTCAATCATTACAAATCTGATGACTCTGCGCAACAATACAAATAATGTCCTATTTTTCTATAAAGAATCAGAATACAGACTAATAAAATATTTGCTTTGCCAAACATATAGCAAAGTTTATCAGTGTTGGCCTATTGGCTTTAGCGGGCGACTCTCATCTTAAGGGTCGTAAGTTCGATCCCCGGCTTGAATTAACTTTCTTTCTATATGCTCATTTAACATCCGCTCGGTGAAGGAAAACATCGTGAGGAAACCGATATGTCTAAGACCCAAAGTCGACGGGGCGTGTCAGGCACTGGCGTCTGAGGCCCAGACCTAAAGAGGTTGTAGCGCCACTGATGAAAACAAACATATAGCAAGGTATTACTAACGCATTATTTATAATAATGCCTCTTAAGACCTGCAAATTTCTATAAAAATCAAAGTCCTCGAACGAGGCTAGCTATGAAGCGAGATTGGTCTGCTAGTAAGCTTTGACCTAAATTCATCGAGTCATGGCGGTTCCCACACCTGTCGCGCCTTCAACCTGACGTTTAATACAATGGCTGACGAGGTCTTAGCATATATATTGTTTCATTGAGATAATAAAGCAATAAATCGTCTTCTGATTTATATTTATTGATAGGGTTAACACATGTTTGAATATTATGAAATGAAACCTTTTTAAATTAATAAATATATCATACTACACGTTATGCATATAAAATCAAGATGTATTTATTTAAATTCATTCTTCTGGAGGATAAACCCTAATTGAATTCGGTTAAGGAATAAGCTTATAATAAAATAAATACATGTGCTTAGTTCCGAATGGGCGTTTATTAATTTTCTGTCATTTGCGGCAATTTTAGATATTTTTGAGACCTCCGATTTTAATGGATTTTACATACTACAATTCAGCTAATTTGAATTAATCTTCCAGGGACTCAAACATCCAAGTGACAGACTTCGGGCCTTCATGGCGTGATGGTATCGCTTTCCTGGCGATCATTGATGCGATCAAAGCTAACTTAATAAACCTGGCGGAGATGAAGAGGAAGACAAACAGGCAGAGATTGGAACACGCATTCGATGTCGCTGAAACTGAGCTGGGTATCGCCAGGTTGCTGGACGCTGAAGATGTAGACGTTGACAAGCCTGATGAGAGGTCCATAATGACATATGTTGCCCAGTTCCTACACAAATACCCTGAGCCTAAGGTAAGAGCCACGCTTCTCTACTTTCTGCAACGCACTGATTACGCCAAGACGAACCAAGTTAAATAAGGACGAAACATAGGAAGCGTGTGTATAAACAAAATAACGTCACAAACTTTATGCTTTAGTCAAATATTTTGCTTAGCCGTTTAGCTACTAAAATAACGATTTGACTAAGGGGTAGAGTTCCGAGTGAAACTATGAAGTAAAATCTGATTATGTTTTACAGTGCGAGTCAATTGACAAATTTCACAAGAAAAGGTTTTTGGTGGAGTTTGTTTATGAGTAGTTGTAGTCGTGCGAACACACGCAAAATTACTAATTTTAGTAGCGATCGTATCTTTGGGACCTTGTAATAGTATAATTGTGAATTAAAACGCAATTAAAAGTACCTAAATGCAAAATTATTATTATATTAAATCAATAAAATGCATTAATTACCCTACTAATAATAATAATCAGTGTGTTAATTGAGTACAGTATATTAATATTGATTGCTCTTTGTTTATTTATCTCACATGATGGATGAGAAAATTATTCTATTCTCATTGTGTGGTTAAAATTACCATTCTCACGAATGTAATTTTTCGTTAAGTTTCTGAGAATAACAAATGACCTCTTAATCATTCATTAACAACCACCTTCCGCGACTTTATCCACATTGATATTGACGAATAAAAAATAAAAACACGTGTTAACCTAAAATAATTCTAAAGTAACTTTATGACATATAAACTATAACTTATTATTCTAAATTCTTTTGTAGACGACGGGACCAGACGCAGTAGCGGCAGTACAAGAAGAGTACGGATTATTACGGGCGTGGCTCGCAGAGCGCGTTACCATACTTCAAAGACAGTATGACTCCAGAACTCTCTCCAGGAATTACCATGATTATCTCTTGGCGGAAACCGACAGATTGGCCCGCGAGCCATTGTACCACAAGTTGGAGAAGCTCATGTACACACAAAGCCTAGTAGCCATCGCCCCCAGCTCCTGGCGAGAACTCGTTGCACTCTGGGTAGAACTAGAACGACTGCACAGGAAATGGCTCTGGCTTCTCGATTCAGATTTACCCGGAGATTTCCGTGTTGTTGGGGAGTGGCTAGCCCGAGCTGAATTCTTACTTTACTTCGATGAAATACCGACCGCCTTCGATGAGAGGACAGCGGCCATCATCAGTGAAAAACTAGAAGAACACACAAGATTCTTCGCAGACTTACCCGCTGTCGTAGAGCGATTTGAAGCCGCTCTGAGATCTTCCGACGCGTCCCAAATTCCCCCCGAAAGACTGCAGAGTATGCAGGAGCGATTACAGACAGTGAGTCGCAACGCTCCCCAAAGAAAAGCGAGATTGAAATATCTCGAACACAAATGCTGTATCGTTGCTTTCACCGAATTAACGAAGGCTAAACTAGCCGCTTGGACCGGTAAATACGGTCGAATCGATCATGTACGTGCCTTATTAGAAGATTATGACAATTTTGTAATAAAGAATAAAATATTCCAAGAATTTGATAGAGCTTACGTTGATATAAAGCAGGTAGCTGAGGAGTATAAGAGAGTGTGTGAAGTAGATAGGAGTGAAGCCAGAGAGATTGATGTGTTTTTACGAGATGTGTCTGAAACGTGGAGGAGAGTTGCATCTGATGTGAGATGCGCTAGAAGTGTACTCGAGGAAGTAATCGCTCACTGGGAAAGGTGGACGATGCTATCGGACCAATTTACAACATGGCTAGATAAAGCACAGCACATGCTACGAGTCTCTGAGGATGAGAGGCTCGAGTTCTTCCAAGATTTGACAGTGTGGAAGGAGAAGCATCAATTGTTGGGAGACGCTGCAGGCTTCCTGGCAGCAACATGTACGGAGGAACATAGCTCAGAAATTAAAAGGAAGTACGTGGAAATCACAGAAAGATGGGAACGAGTCTGGGAAGAAGCAGAAAGGTAAGCTTTAGTATATGGTACAATATCATTTTCATTTGTAGCAATTTACGTACATAATATTATTATAATCTGTATATAGTGAAAAAAATACACTTTTTCTTAATATGATATTTCACGAATTATTAATAAAATTAATCTGATCGTACCGTACCTGTAGGTCAATGTTTTGTTCACAGGTCTTTCGATATATGTAGTATTGTTAATATAGTGAGTACTTTTTTATTAGATACGTCAGAGGAGGTGACGCTCTTCGCCATAGACGCGAACTGGCGAACGGGATTCAAAACCTAGACTCGTGGCTAACAGGCGCTGAGAATCTGCTTTCCCGGCACCCACGAGCGAACACAAATGATATACAAACATATATTGATCAACTGTTACAACTTAACTCACAAATTGAACAACACGAAGAACTCTTCAAGTCAATAAGCAGGTAATATTGGATTATTATTTTAATGAGATAATATTATAATTTAATTTAGTTTAATATAAATTTAAAAAATAATAAATTTAGCTTTTGAATTTAAGTATAAAATTACGGTGGTGTTGCTAGAGTGAATGAAATTGATGGATATAGAAACAGAATATTCTAAACACATAATCAAATAATTTGGATTTTGGAATTCCAGGACATTCCAAAACGCAATCGCTGAGTTACCTCGAGACGAAGTTGAGGCAAACATGAACAAACTGAAACAGCAAAAGGAAGCCTTAGTCAAAGTAAGGGCTACTGTCCCCGTAAAGTTGCATCAATATCGGCAGCTATTGGTCCAGCACGAGTCATTGGAGACAGGACAAAAAGAAATTGGACAGTGGCTGGATAAGGCCGAGAACGCCCTTCGATCCACTACCGAATCTAGGCGGTTAGTTTCAAGTTATAATGTATTTTATTTGTTTTTAATAAGGACGGCTTGTCAGTAATATTCAGTTATTTACAATTAAATTATTTTAATAATTAAATGTAACGTTATCCTTAATTATTTTTTGGAACATTATAAATGTTCAGAAGAACAAACACTACACTTCTTTACTTTACAAATATATTTTTCTTTTAACAGTGAGTTGATAGAAGAAACATATGAAATCCATCGAACATTCTTCTCACGGACAACATACTATAGATCAATGCTGGAAAGCAAAAACAAAGTATTCCAGAATATTGTAAAGGCAGCTGATATGGATAAAAGCGCAGACGTCAGCGATCAACTTTCTCTAATGAGGGATCTTAATGAGAGGTGAATACTTTTATGAAATATGTTATAAGGGAACCGTGTATACGTAGTAAAAAGTGTACATTTAAATTAATATTTTTATTTCAGATTTGCCCACGTATCATCCGAGGCAACTCGGCGTGAAGCAGATTTGCAACGTTTGGTTCGCGCCTGGGAAGATTTCGAAACCAAGAAACGTATTGTTGAAGACTGGGCGTCTAGAGCTGAAGCGTTGCTTGCTGATAACAGAGTTGACAATAAGCAAGCGCTCCATCTACATGAACAGTTCTTCCATGGAGCTGACGAAAGAGCCGTGTCAGAACTTGTCAGATCAGGACGAGAGCTTGTTGAGGTACGTTTAGCAATTGATAATAATTAAAAATGATTAGTTATTAAATATAATTTGATTATGATTAATAAGTGATGCGACCTATTAACTCCGTCTTAGATAAAACCTATGGTGATTATCACAGTGACCACAGATTTATGGGTTTGTAAGTTGTCATAATCTACGATAAAGTGACACTGTCATAATATTACTGTAGTATGATAACAATTTACAATTGATTTGATCAATTGATCATTTTATTAATATTGTTTTTCTTTTCAACAAATATGTGAACAGAATTAATATAAATGTTAACAAAAATTGCGAAATTTTATGAGACATAAAATATTTTTTGGAACATGATTCCTAACAGTTGGTGAAGGAAGAAGATAGAGCCGGTGTAGTTCGAACAGTAGAAGAGCTGCAGAGAAGATGGAAGGAATTACTTGAGCGCGCGCCGCCACATCTCATGCGACAAGAATTCAAATTGGATGAGACCGTCTTCCATCATTGTATCAAAGATATCGAAAAGGAAATCGCTTATGAGGAGCAGGTACTTACATTAGTTATAGGAAAAAAAATTAATTGGCGCAACTCCTTTCTAATGTAAGAAGTTGCTTCCAAGAAATAATAACTGGATGTCACTGTAACTTGCTTTTGGCCTGAATTTACTCAATACATTTGTTGTTTTCTTATTAGTTTTCTTACTTATTTATTAAATATTATTGTTGAATTGAAATAGGTAATATTTCATTAAATATTTTAGGCCTTCAATCAAAGTGATGATGCCGATGGCATTCTTATCAGAAATGAGGAGTATTTCCGTAATCAGGGCAAGGTGATGCAAGTTGAACAATGTCTTCAGAACCTGAATAAAATTTCCAGTAGCTATACACATCAAACAGGAGACACAAGCCTTGAGGAAGAGCTGCGAAGGTAAAACTTTTCTTTTTTATATATAAGTTCATATTCCATAACTTACACATTGCAACTTATCAGATTATGGTTTGTGGTAAGGAAAAGTATACATATCTACTAAAAACAGAAATGTTTAATAAGTCTGGCTAAGTTATACGTACAAGAAACTACCCTTAGTAATAACTTGCCTTAATATGAATTGTAAGCAATATTGCAATCTATTTCCAAAAAAAAAATGGCAATTTATAGAACTGAACAATTTTTATAAACATAATCAAAATAGTAAAATATCTGTGGCATTTTTGTTTTAAAATGTTAGTTATATAAAATACTCAAAATATATATTTATCATTTATGTATTGTAATTACAATTCTGTTTAAGGTTCAAATTAATACTGAAATTTAAATGTGTCAAATATTATGACATTGAGTGCAATATAAGAACTTTAAGTACATGGTAGTATAAACAATCAAATGATTTCAACATTTTATTACTGAATTTATTTTTTATTACTAACTGAGGCTTTATTATCCAGAAAGCACTCTAAAATTATTACAACATCAGATTTACTTCTTTTTGTTTGATTTAAGATGTGAACAACAATGGGAATCTACAGTACATCGAGTAGAAAACTTCAGACAACAACTTCAACAGATTCCAGCTAAGTGGGATGCTTATAGAGCGAGATTCGGGGAAATGGAGAGGTGGATGGACCATGTTGATAGGACTATGGACAGCATTGTTCGAGAAGTTGACTCAGCTGAAGCATTTGAAAGAGAAAAAACAATCTTTCAGGTAACAGATCATAATATTTAAGTTTATATAGATTGATTTACTTATGAACATATGTGTCTATTCAACACCATGTTCATAATTTTTTATGTATTTATAAGTTCCAAAACATACATACTTAAAAATTACAAGAAAATATAAATTAATAATTTTTACATTTGTGTGTGTCATCAATTATATTAGAATGTATAAATTACAAAAAAGCAAGCAAATTTAATCTTGCATAATGTTATTGTGTACAAATCCCACTGAGGGTATGAATATTTATTTCATTTCTTTTAATTTTATTGGTCATTTTTAAATTGTTTTCTAAATAAACATCTTTTTTTGACACTTGAATGGTGAAAATTGTTAACTTTATAAAACCTATTATTGTTAATGCTCCCTTTGGACTGAAGCTGCGAGAATTAATGGTAAATATTTTTAATTTTTGATGTATCAATTATTGCATTGATTAGGACGAATGTTGGTTTTGTATTTAAATTTTTTTAATACTATTATGAAATTATGAACTTAATATTTTTGTAGAACATTTGTCGTGAAGCCGACCGAAAACGTGAAGACATGAAATGGCTTGTACAAACATTGGATATGCTTTCGAATCACTGTTCTGATAATGAAGCTCAAGAAGAACAGGTTAAATTAGAAAATCTAATTTCAAGATATAAAAATCTCATACCCACTATTGAAATTACTATGATTAAGACTGAGACCTACACTAGATGTTACACATACAGACGAGAAGTACATGAAGTTATTTGCATATTAGAAAATGCTAAGAAACATGCAATGGTTGAACCTGAACCTCAATCTCTACAGCAAGTTGAACAATTAGTACTTGAACAGCAAGCAACTGTCCAGAAACTAGATAGGCAGAGGCCTTCAGTTATGTCCATGTTGCAACGTGGAAAGGAACTCATTAAAGATGCAAATGCTCCAGCATTTGTCAGAGAAGATGTCAGGAATCTTGAATCTGGATGGAATGTTGCTTATGAATCAAATACTGACCGCCTACATAAGCTATGTGATACCCAAAAAGTTTGGTCCAATTACGAATATCAGAAAGAAGAATTGCTCTCTGATATAGATAAAATTGAAAATTTTGTTGCGCATCCTGGTTTAGAGCTCGGTGTCTCTAGCATAAGTCGTGAATTGCAGGAAACGCATGCTGTTAACGCTGATATAGAAAAAGCAAAAGCAGAAAGATTACCGCAATTGCAACAAGCCTATGTAGAATTGCGATCTCTTACAGCGAATAAGCCAAAACCAGTCATAGAAAAAGATTTAGAAACCATTGAACATAAGCTAGATAGAGTACAAGATGAAGTGCAGACAAAGGTTATACACCTTGAAAAGTTTAACGTAGAGTGGACTAAAATTGAGCGTAAACTCGACGATGTCCGTGATTGGATTAAGAAAGAGAGTCCGGCTTTAATATCACAAATTCAATCTGAAACCATAACCCCCGAAGAAAGAGTAGAAAAATCTCAAGTGTTACAAAAAGTTATCGCCGAGAAAATGGATATCATCAGAAATGTCGCCGAACAAGGAACTAAACTGGCTGTTGAACATCGAGTTCAAGATTCCAATAGACTTAAAGGTGACATTGCTTTACTAGAAAAAATGATGGCTGATCTACAAAGATGCACTGAACAACAAACGAAAGTGGTAGAGCATGATCTTGCTAGCTGGCAAAAATATCAAAAAGGAGTCGCAGAAATTAAACCATGGATTGAAGAAGCTGAACTGAAGTTAGGGAGCCTTCCCAAACCAACAACATTGCCAGAAGCACAGCAATTGCAGCAGCAGTCTAGAGCATTGGTGACCGACTGTGACAAACAATTGATGAACCTACAGATATTGTCCAGTGTAAGCCATCAACTCTCAGGCAAAACGAGTGCTCCTGATGAAGTGGATGCAATACATTCTAGGTGGGCAATTGTCCATGACCTAGCAGACCAATGGAATAGTAAATTAGAAAAACTAACAGCCCAATGGGAGGTTTTTGAAAAGGAAGCAGAAAAAATTGAACTATGGATAGATAATGGGGAAAAGCTGATAAATAGTCGAAATGTTAATGTTGAAACACCGCAAGTAGAAAAACTTGATCGAGAATTAAACAAATTGAAGTCTTTTGGAAATGAAATTTCACAACAACAAGCTAAAATAATAACGTTATCTCAAACATGCGATAATATTTGTCATAGTGTACAACCAGAAGGTGCTAATTTATTGAAAAATAAGGTAAATGACATTAAACAGCGAACGAACAACCTAGCGGAAACTGTAAGATCAAGAATAAACGAATTGTCTGATAAAATAATTGTTAAACAAGAGTTCCTTACAAAATTGCATAACTTTGACAACTGGATAACTGATTTCAGAAGAAAAACCGAAAGCTATGATCAAATAAGTTCGGACAGAGTTGAGCCAACTCTTCAGTCAATGCATGTTTTACTTCAGGAACACGCAGCGAAGGCACCGGAGTTCACAGACATTTATAATGAAGTTAAGAATATGACACTCGCCTCCCATCCAGAAGAAATGCGTTCCTTAAATGACACCTATTCAAACATCGCAGATAACTATCAAATGATTGAAAGTACTATTCAACAAAATAAAACCATTCTTCAAAAATGGTCCGATTTATTGAACTGGTATGAAGACAATAAGCAACAATTGAACCACATACAGTATCAAATTGAAGGACCAAAATTAACACCGGAAAGCTACGAAGTACTTCGCCAAGAACTTGTTAATATACTAACCAAAGTACCAGAGAAAAAGACCAACGTTGCATTGTTAGACGGTCCTTCAAAGATAAAAGTAACTGATCAAAACACAGGAAGACTTATTTCACCGTCTAGCTTGGTGAAAGAAATCGAAACAAAGGCTGAAACTTTGCTAAATCAGACTATTTCAAAAAGAGACCTGGTTCAAAAAGTTGGCGCTCGCTGGGACAAGTTTAACGTACAGCATAAAGCTTTGTCGGATATTCTGCAAAATATTCAGAGTTCCCTTAATGACATGTCACAGAAACCTGCACCTTTAACAGATGCAACAATACAAGAGATGACTGAACAATTGGATTGTTTAGATGCAGAATTAAAAGACAAACAATCTGTGAGAAAGGAACTGAGAGAAGAAGGACTACATTTAATGCGTGAAGATCAACAAAATATGGGTACCATTCAAAATGCTCTCTCCGCAGCGGACAATAGCTGGGACCAAGTTGTAAACGCCGTTCGTGATACTAAAAATAAGTGCATATTACTTTCATCAACTCTACAAGAATTAAAGAACTTTAATGTAGCTTTTGATAGGGAAATGTCTAGAGCAGAACAACTATACAATGAATGTAAAAATGCGCCAAATGATTACATTCAGACGGCACAGGCATTAGAGAAAGCGAAAAAGTCGTATGAAGTGCTAAAACGCTCTAAAGGCTTGTTAGACCAAATGGATGTAATAAAGCAATCTGTACTAAAACAGGCTTCTACCGTAGGTGGTTTTGATACTTCTCCTTTAGAGGACTCTTTCCTAAATACTCAAACACACTGGGAAAAAGTAAACGATACAATTATTAAAAGAATCCAAGATTTGGACTCCCAACTGTTAGTCTGGCGACAAATTGATGACGTCAAAAATCAAGTAGTACAATGGCTTAGTGAAACCGGTCAGAATCTCGGTAATGCTTGTGATAACCTAGAAATAAGGTTTGGACAAAATCACCTTATGAAATACAAAGAAGAACTCCCATTATATTTAGGGTTAAAAGGCAGTATTATTACTAAATGTGAACAGATTACAAATCTAAATAAGAGTATACCTGCGGCACAAGTATCGTCAATTGTTGAATATTTAGATAATGAATTTGATGCTCTAAAATCTTTGGCTGACAATTTAGAAAGTGCTGTATCATCTCTCGAATCAAAGGAAAATAAATTTAAAGATACTATTAAACGTCTTTCAGATAAGGTAAGCAAAGTACGTGATGATATTATAAAATGTGATGATATGTCCGGTGATAATAGTAAAATATTGGATCGTTTGAAAAAGTGCCAGTTATGTAAAGCTGAACTTCAAAATTTGAATGACGAGATAGATAACTTATCGCAAAACGTATCTGAAATGAATGCTAATTATCCTGGTTTCTACGAGTCATTGGTACCAAAAGAACTTAGTAATCTTCAGAAAAGGTTTGAAAGCGTCTTGACACACGCAAATAAAACTGAAACTACGCTTCTTACTTTCTTACAAAAATCATTCACGGATAAACTTAGCATGTTTAACAGAAATTTAAAGATATTGGATGATAAGACAAGATGGTGCATGCCGGATGTTAACAATGATAAATACAACCTCGAGGTAAAAAGCGCCGCACTACTCGAAGTCGGGACGGGTATTGAAGAATGCCACAAAAAAATTAAGGAATTAAAAGAGGCTTGTGATACTTTACGAATTGTAGCCGAACCAGCTAGTGCCCAAGAAGCTGCCGTGCAAACAGAAAAAGCACAGAAAAACTTGGATGTATTGTCGTCAAATTATGACGAAATAAAAAATAGATTGCAAGAAAACATTGATGCGTGGCAAGATTATGAGACATTATTAGAACTGGTTTCAGAATGGCTACGAGAAAAAGAAAACCAAGTTCGTTTAGAAGCAGCTAATCTCAGCGACTTAAATGATATTGACAATAAAATTATTCAACTTGAAGGTTTGCACAACGAGATTAAAAACTATAGTGGTGAAATAAACAGGCTTACAGAAATTGGAGAAAGTGTGCTATCTAAAAATCCTGATTCTAGAGTTACACAATATATTAATCATTTAGTAAATAGATATCAAACTGTAGACAGGTTCATAGATAACCACATTAAACGTTTAAGTGACTTAAAGAACAATAAAGAAAAGTACGAGAAAACAACAAGCGATTTCAAAAATTGGTTACAGGAAGCCAATGCTAATATAGTCGACTTAGCTGCTATGAGCAAACATTCTAAGCCATCAGTGGCTGACTTAGAACAAGTTAAAAAGCTAAATGAAAATAAAGAATTAGGCCAACGGTTGCTCAATAGTGCTATTGAAACTGGTGAATCATTATTTAGTGGCATAACACCAGAAGGGCGTGAAAAAGTCAGAAATGAGTTGCGAACGTTGCGCGATTTGTTTGAAGATTCTGTAGATTCCCTAAATAACGTAATCAAGGACATTGAAACTACTCTTAACAAAAGATCGTCCTTTGATGATACCTTTAACCAAGTTCAGAAGTGGATAAGCGACAAAGAAAATGAATTGGGAGAATTTAAGTTGTGTCCTACTTTACCAGACAAAAAAGCTCATTTACATGCAAATAAAATATTACACCAAGAAGTAGAATTGCACCAATCTATGCTTTCACAACTTACAGAGAAGATTAAATTAATGCCCGATGACGAAGCTGAAAAAAGTCTTAGTAACGTTATAGATAAATATACAAATATGTCAACCGCAATACAAAATAGAATAAAATCATATGAAAGTCACGTGTCTGATCATGAAAAATATGTTCAAATGTTTGAAGAAACACGCGATACCATTAACCATATTGTAGCTGAAAATAGTATGTTGCACTATGGCGTTGTCACACAAAAAGATGATATTGACAATAAGCTAGCTGTAATTGAAAAGGTTTCGACCAAATCACTAGCATTAAAACAGGCTTTAGACAATCTTAAACATCAATTGCATAAAGTTTTAGAATCTACCAGTCCCAATGGTCACCCTGTTTTAATAAGTGAATTTGAACAATTAAAAGCAACTTGGGATCAATTTGAAAATCAATGTCAAGACCAAGATAAGAGACTTAAAGAAACTTTGCAGCAGTGGAATAACAGTCAAAGAACGCTGGATGAATTAGAAGAATGGCTTAAGATTAAAGAAAATCTAGTTAGAGATCAAAGCTTAAAAAGTACCCTGGAAGCGAAAGTAGCACATTTGCAACGATTAAAAGAAATACAAAATGAACTGACTGCGAAAACGACGAGTTTCAATGCTTTATCTGATACTCAAAATATAACAAATGAGACAGAAATAACAAATAAAACTTCAAAATTGGCTACTAGATTCCATACGTTGAACAACTTAGTGAACGAGCTCATATCAAAGTATGAAGTATTTGTGTCCGAACATAGAACTTTTGAAAATGAATATAACGACATGGAAAATTGGCTTGGTGGGATGCTTGGTGAATTACAAGATTTAAATGAAATTGTCGGAGATTATGCTGTCCTGCAAGAGAAACAAAATAAAGCTAAAGAACTCTATGAAACCAGAAACAAGAAAACACCCATTTTTGAAGATTTCCTTAGTCTTGGAGAAAAACTGTATGCACACACAAGTCCCGATGGCAGAGAGGTTATTCGTCAGAAAATACGTAAAGTAAGATCTTTGTGGGATAGTTTCGGTGATAGTTTTCAGGAAACTGTTAATAAGTTGGATCAATGTTTACTTCAATTTTCCGATTTTTCTTTGGCTCAGGAACAGCTAACAAAATGGTTAAAGGACGTAGAACGTGCTATGCAAAAACACACAGAACTTAAGGCATCGCTAGAAGAAAAAAAGGCTCAATTACAAAATCATAAAATTATGCACCAAGAAATTATGACTCACCAACAGCTTGTAGAATCTGTTTGTGACAAAGCACAGCAATTAGTTGATCAAACTCATGATGCATCATTGAATGTGTATTTGCAATCTATAAAGCAGTTATTCCAAAATATAGTTACTAAATCTCAAAATCTTCAAGAGAATTTAGAAGAATGTGTCAAGAGACACGAAGATTTAAGTCGACTGATCCAACAATACAAGGAATGGATAAGCGGTCAATCAGAAAAGTTATTGGATATTGAAAATGCTACTGGTGAAAAGCCTGAAATTATACGAAAATTACAGTCTGCTTTAGCATTAAAAGATATTGAAAAAGTTGGTTCCAATAAATTAGATGAAATAAGAGCTGTTTTTACAATTGTAAGTAAAAGTACATCGGAGGCTGGTAATGTTTTGATAAAGACAGAAATTGATAATTTACAACAACAATTACGTAATGCTATCCAGAGCATTGACATGTCAGAACAAAGATTAAAGCAGACGTTAATTGTTTGGAACACCTTTGAAACATCGATTGAGAAATTGACTGAGTGGCTAAAAGACATGGAATCCAAATGTCGTGATCAGGCTCTTTGTTCTACTTTACAAGAAAAAGAAGACCAGCTTCAACGATATGTCGACCTTCGTAACGCTATTCACACGAAAGAAAAGGAAATTGACAGTTTTGTTGATGAATCTCACAGCCTTATACAATTAAGTGGAGTTGAAAGACTTAAACCACTTGTAACACAAGTCAATAGTCGCTACCAACAATTGCATCTAATATCAAAAGAAATTGTAACACATTGGTCCGAACTTGTCGGTGATCATAAGAAATTTAACCAATTGCAAAGTGAGTTTGATTTATGGCTGAGACCACTAGAAGAACAGCTATCGAAAATGATCGAAGATAAACTTAGTATTGAAAATAAAGGAAATAAGCTGCAAGTATTCTTACTAGAAAAAGACAACGGTGAACATAAAATGAGCATATTGGCAACTGCTGGCGATAAAGTACTGCCAGAAACAGCAGCTTCAGGCCGAGAAAATATACGCGCTGATATAAGATCACTCAGGGAAAGGTGGGATAAATTCAATGATAGTATCGCACAACAGCAAAAAGAATATGAATCACAGACATTGCAGTGGTCTAGTTATCAGGATGTTTTACAACAAACTTTGTCTTGGTTAGATGAAAAAGAAAAAGTAGTAGAGAATGAAGAAAAGGCCAAACTTAATTCTGCTCAAGAAATTAAAAGTAAAATATTAAAAAACAAAACATTATTGCAAGAGATATCTTCCCATAAAAGAGTTATAGAAACGGTTACCGATAAAGCAAAAACTGTAGCAGCCAGTATTCAATCAAGTAAAAAAGAAACTGAAGAAACAACATCTATTATTAAGTCTATTTGGGACAGGTATAATGCACTCACTAGTAGACTGACTGCCATCATCGACAATCATGAAAGTACTTACGAAATATATCAACAATTTACTGACCAACAGAAATCTTTACAAGATTATCAAAAGAATTTATGGGACAGGCTTCATCTCTTATCAGACTTTACCGGTAATAAAGCTGCACTACAAAATAAATTGACGAAAATTCAAGAACTTTTGGATGCCATTCCAGCTGGTAATAACAAACTTAAAATAGTATTAGATTTGATCGAAAGCCATTCCGATAAACTATCTCCACGTGGCAAAGAAGCAATGTTCCGGGAACTTGGCTTACTTAAAGCTGATTTAGAGAAGTTTACGACCACTGTCCATGATGTAAAACGTGGTATAGAAGCTAAGATACAGCAATGGATAGAGTTTGACAACGCCAATGATCGTCTTCAGCACTGGCTTAGTGATACCGAAATGAGCCTTAAAACTTATACACCTAAAGCTACATTGGAAGAGAAAATAGATCAACTCAATAAATATCAGGTATGTAATATTTGTTTTGACATTTACTAGTGTATGTAGATTGAAATACATTATAATAATCAGCCCGGTATATCTAGTTTACCAGCACCTATACCTGGGAAGAAATCTAAAAAAATGTGGTGGCCATATCCTAGTTATGATTGTGATTTTGACTAGGATAAAAATAAGTAAAAATATTACTATTAAGTATGTACTTTTTTGGCCCTGAATTTTTAATTGCTTTGTGTGGGATGATAATATGAAGGCACTTATCTTCAAATTCTACAATTATCATTTTGTCAGTCTGTATTATTCTCAGACAAGTACTTGCTTATAAAAAATCATATTATTTATTTGGCACGTTTTAAACAGGATTTGAGTAGGACGATTGATAATCACGAGTCTGATTTGAATGCAGTGATTAATTTGGGCGAAGCATTGGAACAAGTAAGGGACAATAGACAAAATTTATTACCAAAACACAGTAGAACTTAATTATTCTAATTTTCCGTAGATTGATCCCTAATATCACTTAAATAATACAATGATAACTTAGCGATCTTTTAGTCTGACTTCCTTTATTCATAAAAAGTTAATCAGCCCAATAACACTATTTTAACTTAAGAGCTCATTCGTCTCTTTCTGTTAAATTGTGTTGAAAGGAACACACTGTCTGTGGTTGTCGAGTTCAAATTGAATGATTTAATTTTTATAAATAGGGGGTATGTCTTGGGCATACTAATAATAACGCTACTTTATCTTTGTCGGAAAAGGTATAAAATGGTGTAATTGTTACTAATCGTATTATTTGGTCTGAGTTAATAATAAAATGGTGTAGGTCGCAAATAATAGTAGTACCTAATTGGTTGTCGTCTATGATACTAATTACTTGACATTCCAGTTAAACGGTTGGTTAAAAATTGTATTTAATTATTATTTCAGGCTATTTCAGCTAACTTGAAAAAGGCAGAAAATGATGTTGACAAAGTTACAGATGAATTTAGTGACCTTATAGAAAATTGCCATGATACTAGGATCACTATGAATTTACAGCAAATGACATCTCGATTCCAATCTGTGCATTCCACGGCCAAAGAGTTAGTAAAAAAATGTCAACAAGCAGTGAATGACCACAATGCATATCAAGAGAAAAATAGACAATGTATTGATTGGATTACAACAGCTCAACATAAGTTTGATGAATGCCAGAAGAATTTGTCTAATACTCCTGAGGGAATAGCCGCTAAGCGAGAAAGCCTTAACGATCTGTTAAGTCAACGACGAAACGCTACACTTCTTGTTAACAATACTTTTGAACTGGGAGAGAAGCTGTATCCTTCTACTTCACCTGACGGTAAAGAGATAATTGAACAACAACTTCAAGATGTACAACATGCTGTTGATAATCTGTTTGAGAATATTACAAAGGCTGAACGTAATCTGGATTCTGAGCTAAATAAATGGTCTTCATTCGAAGATAATCTTAAGACAGTACAAGACTGGCTAGCTCTTGCCGAGAAAAATTTGCCTAAAGAAATTGAACTTAAGGCAACCTTAGATGAAAAAAGAAGCCAATTAAATGTTTACAGAGAATACTTACAAGATGCCCTATCTCATCAACAAGATATTGCCGAACTCGAAATGCGTGCTCAAAGTCTACCTGACGTGACTGAAGACATCAAGAAAAACATCAATCAGTTGAAGAATAGACAAGAAACTATACTTAAAAGAGCTAAATCATTTGTAGAACAATATGAAGCTATTGTTAATAATCACCAACAATACTCTAAAGCAGTTATGGATTTGCAAGAATGGGTTGAAGCTACCCATAATACTGCTCAGCTGTGGGGAGACGTTAACTTAGAAAGAGTGGCTTTGAGTAGTAATTGCGAGAAGCTAAAGTCGTTGCAATTAAGTTTACCTGAAGAGAAAAACCGCATCGATAAAATACGAAGTATTGGTGAGAAAGTATTACCAGGAACAATCAGCGGTGGCCAAACCAACATTAGAAATCAAATTGATGCATCTCACCAAGAATGGGAAGGATTGGTGTCCTTCATTAACAAAACTATAGAATCAATAGAAAATAAGATTCAACAGTGGAATGAATATGAGAATATGAAAGACCAATGTTTAGCTTGGATAAGAAACACAGACAATCAAATTCATGGTGTCGACTTAAAGGCAACTTTACCAGAAAAACAAGAGCAATATAACAAGTTCCAAGAATTGCAAGGAGAGGTGCGCGCTAAAGAATTAGAAATTGATAATATTACAGAAAGAGCACAACATTTGTATACCGGAATGTTAGGACCTCGAGGTTCTCAAATATCTGACCTAACTGTTAAATACCAAATGTTATGCCAAAAAGTAAAAGATTTAACCAATAGATGGCAACAATATGTAAAAACACACCAAGAATTTGCAAGCAATGTGACAGAGTGTTCTCAATGGATCGAAGAACTGAGAGACAAGCTAGATTTTTGTTCCGATCTAAGTTCATGTTCCCAAGACGATCTAGAAACAAAGTTGGTACTTATTCAAAACTTACTACTGACCAAAGACGAGGGTTTTACAAAAGTTCAATCTTTAGTAGAATTAGCTCAAAATGTTCTGGCGAATACCGCACCAACTGGTCACGATTCTATCAATAATGCATTAGTAGCTTTACAAGAACAATGGTCGGCTCTTTTGTCACGCATGATTGACACCAAAAATATGTTAGATGACTCTGTTACAAAATGGGCTGGATTCCTGGAACAAATACAGCTTCTAGAAAAAAGTAACACTTGGTTAGAAAATAGCCTTTCAGAATTAACGCCCTTCGCAGGTTCCATGACCGATAAAAGGGCACAGCTCGAAAAACTAAAAGAAGTTGAAGAAAAAGCTCGTTGTGACCGTTTAGAGGTTGATGGCCTCAAAGCCAAAGCATCCGAAATGTTAGCTAGTGGTCAGCAAAATCAGGCTGCCTCTAAAGCTCAAGAAACCTTGAATAAGTTTGATTCCCTTTATGATAAAGTGAAAAAATTACTTGCCGATAGAGAGGAACAGTACAAAGATCACAGGTTATATAAAGAAGCCCACGATGAACTTATTCAGTGGCTCGGAAGAGCGAGAGAAAAGGTTCCATCATTAAAATCCAAACCACTTAGTGATAAATTGGCCATCGAAAATTCTGTAGCGCCTCTTGATGCCCTCATTAACAAGCAAGCTCAGGGAGAGCTTCTTTTAGAACATTTGCAACACACTGGGGAAGTTCTTCTTGCAAGTACATCTCCTGAGGGCCAGGTGGTAATTAAAAACGAAATGAAAGCTTTAAAAGAAAGCTTTGATCAGCTCTTTAATGAAATTAAGCAACAAAAGAATCAGCTAGAGGATATTGTGAATCAATGGAGAGATTACAAAGATGAGTATGAAAGGTTATCTGATTGGTTACAGCAAAAAGAAATTCTTATTAAAAACCATAAAGTGGCGCTGTTAGGAACTGCCAAAGAGAAAGGTGGTCAAGTTAACGAAGTGAAAGAGATTGTTGATCAGCTAAGCAAAGGAAAAGTAGACTTTGACAACTTCAATGATTCTTCTGCTGGATTGCTCTCATCTCATTTAGACACTTATGTAAATAATCAACTTAGACATTTAAACTCCAGATACCAAGTATTGCTTAACATGGGTAATGATGTCCTCAAGAAAGTCGAAAACAACTATGAACAACATCAAGCATATGATGATAATTATGCTAAGACTAAGAAGTGGATTGATGATGCCTGGGAAGTCACCCGCATTGGAAGTGAGGCAGGTAGCAACAGTAGTAAGGAAGCATTACAAAAACGCTTAGAACAAATCGAAGACTTGCTCAAACGTCGCGAAGAAGGTCAAAACTTGGTCCACGCGACCATAAACAGTGGAGAAAAAGTATTGAGAAACACTAGGTCAGACGGAAAAGATAAAATTAACACAGAAATTAAAGATTTGCAAAATGAATGGGACCGTCTTGTTAAGAAAATGACTACGGCCAAAGTTCATCTCGAAACTGCACTTTTGCAATGGGCCGATTACAGCTCAAGTTATTCACAGCTTCAACAATGGATATCCGATAGAGAGGCGAAATTGCAAGAGGTTTGCGAACAGAAAGTAGCTAAGTCTAAAAAGGGACAAGATCGCCTTGCCGGTCTCACGACAGGCCTGAGCTTAGGCGAAAGAAAAGCAACCCTTCGTCAAACAAACAATATTGTTCAGGATATCGTTTCGTTTGAGCCCATGATTCAGTCTGTTACTTCTAAGGCTTCAGAATTGATGCAACAAGCTCCTGCTTCTGAAATTACCAGCAAATACGAGACATTATCGAAACAGGCGAAGGATTTGTATGAAAAGCAAAAAGAAACTGTAGAGCAACACCAAGCGTTTATCGATTCCGGCACAGACTTTGTCCAGTGGATTAGAGCTGCAAAAGAGAGATTAGGGAAGTGCTCCGATGCGACGGGAGATAAAGAGTCTCTTAGCAGCAAGATTTCGCAACTGAAGGTATTGGAAAGTGAATTACCAGAAGGGCAAGCAAAACTGCAAAAAGCCTTAGAGCAAGGGGAGATATCCTGTGGGCTCGCTGATGAAGAGGACAGAGAAGACATTGAAGAAGAAGTGGCTCTATTGCAAGAGGAGTACGATACATATGTGTAAGTTAATAATGTCTTTTTCGTTTATTTTAAATATTTAAAGTCTAGTTGTAAACCTGAAGTAATATTATAAAACACGTAATGATTCTATATCAATCAGTAAAGCTTTGGTAAGCCTCTCTTCTGAAAGAAAATCAAAGGAGATGAGTAATTGTATTATTTTAAAATAATGTTTTTTTTTGTTGCAGCGAGCAGCTAAACAGCACCAAGGCCCTAATTGAAGGTGGTATAGTTAAGTGGACGGAGTACGAAGAGCATTATAAGGAAGCCCTGGAGTGGTTGTCGAAGACTGAAAAATTAGTTCAATCATTTAATAAACTTCAAAATAACCTCGAGCAAAAGAAAATCGTTCTGGAGGAGTTCCAAGTAAGTAGAAAAAAAAAAAAAAAATTTTTAAAAAAAAACCCAATTTTTGTATTGTATTATTTCGAATTAAATTTCTTGTAGAAAGGGAAAAATAAAAGAATTGTTTTTGATTAACATAACCTTTACAAGAAAAACTTTTTACGGATAAAGTTATTATTATTAAAATTAAATATTACAAATTTATTTCCGACTGCGCGTCACGGTGACTGAAGACAAAAGGTGAAAAAGATACTGAGAGAAACATAAAATAAATACAGATAATTTCATCAAAACTTAAATATAAAAAGTTTTTTCTTTAAATGGACAACTTAACTAAGATATCTATCATGAATCTATAATCAGTAAAATTATAAATTATGAGTATTAATTTAACCCGTAATCTGGATTTCTCTGATTTTCTCATTTGCAGAATATAAAAAGTCTTATAAACATATGTAGATTGTTTGATTTATTTATATTGAGAAAACGTGTATTTATAGGGTCATTTACAAACTTTATTCGACTGGCAAGCCGAGTTAGATAAGCTTAACATGCGAGCACAGACCTTGTTAGAAACCTGCGCAGACACGAGAATATCAAACGGCATCACTCAGCTAACTACGAAGTATAACGCGATACTATCTTTAGCCAAAGAAGTCATGAAGCGATTGGAGCTTCACTACCAGGTAAAAATATGCAGTCATATTTGTTTATAATATTTAAATTTTTCATTTCTTAGCTTGTTTTGAGGGCTTTTTTAATTTATACCCTATATTATTCATTTAAAATACGAGATTAGAAAAATACAGGCTTGATACGGTCTTATTCATAAACTTACATATAAACTGTGGGACCGACTATCGAATAGACATTAAGGTTTTCATAATAAGTTCTCCGTTTATGATAAAACTGTTTGGGTAGCGATATAAAAACTACTTTATCGACTACGTATTATTTGTTTTTGTACATATAATTTTATTTATGTTTAATTCTGTTTTTGCATGCTGGATGTAAATAGCCAAATATGTATGTAATTTTTATTGCATTGTATAGCCAAGTATACGAATTTGTTAGGTTCAATGTTGCATAGTTGACAGCTTATTTTTAAACAGGAACACCAACAACACAACGCTCTCTACGGAGAATGCCAAGACTGGCTCGACAGAACTCGAGAAAAACTAAACCAATGCGCCGAAATTCCCAACACCCTTCAAGAAGTTAACCACAAACTTAACACCGTAAAACTATTACGTCAATCCCTAGAACAAGGACAAAATAAACTAAGATATTTACTAGAACTTAAGGAAAAAGTAATAATGAACACCGAACAAACGGGCGCAGCTAAAATACAAGAAGATACTGACAATTTGAAACAGGAGTTTGATAAACTTATTGCGGACTTGCAAGATGTCCGTAATAAGCTAACAAACAGAGCTTCTCAATTTGATGATATTACCAAGGTGGGTGATTGTGTAAAAAAATTAAATCCATATCAGATTCAAAATAGTATATGTTTTCCTGTAGCATATTTTAAGTTTCTCTGTATAAATACGAGTATTAACTAATGCTGATTTTAAAACTTCATATTCTAGGTACACAAAGTTCTAGTTGAATGGTTGGATGATATTGATCAGAAAATCCAATCAGATGATTCATTACTTAACGATCTCTCAGAGAAAAAGGCTAAACTAGAGAAATTTAAGACATTTAACAGGGACATTGATTCTCACAAAGATCTGGTCAATAAATTGAACGAAAAATTACAAGAAGATGCCTCGTTAAAGACAAAAGATTTCGAGGACACTCTCCAAAGATATGATGATATAAAGAAAACTGTTGACGACATGATTACTGTAAGTATAACCTTTGGTGAAACCTATATTTTTATTTCAAGAAAATCTAATCATAATTCTTTATTTTAGTTGACATCGTTTATATAATCTAAAATTATATCTTCATTTCTTCTTTTTAGAAACTCGAAGACTACGTCAATTCCCACATTCAATACAAAGAATCTTATGACAACTTCTATGATTGGATTCGAAACTGCAAAATCGAGATCCAACAGTCTGCTGATTCACACGGTGAAAAAGCCGAAGTACAGAAAAAACAGAAGAACGTGAATAAAATAATTGGTTCCTTGCCTAAGGGCAAAGCCTTACTGGACAAAGCGGTGGCTCTGAGCGAAGCTGTTCTTGAAACTACTGGAAATGAAGGCAAAGATAGCATTAACCAAGATATTAAACAATTAAAAATCGAATGGGAAAACTTACAACAGATTTGTAGAGATACAAAGAAACTTCTAGAAAAATGCCTGTCTACGTGGTCCGACTTCATAGAAACATCTGAGAAGATGACGAAGTGGGTCAAAGAGTTTGATTCAAAATTAAATGCTGTACAAAAAGTTGATAAAATCACTCCAGAATATCTGGAAAAATGTCGCGTAAGTATATTTCCATATTAATGTAATAATAGTAGCATTGTACGAATAACTTCTTATAGTTTCTCTGTATAATATTTTTTAATACATATTTTATATATAAAACTTCTTAACACTGTATTTGTATTCGACAGGATTTGTTAGCTCAAGCATTAGCGAACAAACATGTGTTAGAAGAACTTAATGATAGATGTGAAAACCTGATGGAACTTAGTGCATGTGCATGGGTGCGTGATAAAACGGTTAATTTACAAACTGAATACACCTCTCTCTTAACGAAAATACAAAGCTTAGTTTCCAATGGAGAAAAGAATCTGTCAGACCACACAGAGTTTATCAAGGCTAAAGAAGATCTGCAACAATGGTTGGAGACAGCCCACGGCACTGTGCACGATTCAATCGGAGTAGGAGACATTGACACTACTAAAGACAAACTGGAGACTATAAAACTTGTTAGCAATAGAATGACCGAGGGACATCACTTATTACTCGTTTTACAGGAAGCGTTTAAGAAAGCACTAAATAACACTCCACCCGAAGAACAGGACGCACTCAGAAATGACGTCAAAGTTCTACAAGAAAGCTGGGATCAACTTAAGATAGACTTGAACTCTATAACAGCCCAGCTTAAAGCAGCCATTGGCAAATGGGAGGACTTTGAAGAATCGAAAAATAAAATAAACCAATGGATCAAGGATACAGAACAGAACTTAGACAAAGTTCCCCCGACAGGTGGAGAATTGGGTGAAATGAAGACACTTCTCGAGAAATACAAACACATTGAAGATGAAATTGACAACAAATCGCCTGAATTGCAACGTATCAAATGTGAGGCCAATGAATTGAGCAGTTGGGCCAGAAAGCCGGCAGTGAAAGAGGCGGTTGTGGAAATAGAAAAGAAATGCGCTGCTCTGAGAGCGAAATGCGCTGCAAAGAAAACTGAACTAGAATCTGAAATCAAAGACTACAACCATTATCACCAATGCTTACAAGACACAGAAAAGTGGTTACTGCAAATATCTTTCCAATTGATGGCACACAATTCTCTTTACATATCGAACAGAGAACAGACTGAAGAACAATTAGCTCAACATGCGGTGCTACTTGATGACATCCAGAAGTATCAATCCACTTTGGATGATTTGGAAGCCCTGGGTCGTGCTCAAATTGAGAGATATGAAGCTACAGCACCGTCCATAAGAGACACTGTTGGAAAACAGTTGAAGAACGTAAACGACAGTCATAAGAGCTTATTGGCCACTGCTCTTCAAATCGAAAGACGTCTGAGAGAGGGATTGGCTAAATTTAAGGAGTACGAAGATACACTAGAAAGCATTTTGAACAATTTGGACGAATGTGAACCTGCCATTACGGAGTTAGATGTACCAGTGGATGGATTAGCTCACGGCCGAGATTTACTTGAGAAAGCCAGGGTAAGTGATTTGCAGAAAACTTTTTAAAATGTCTTAGGTCCATGCTACGCTGGTTTTAAGCAATTTTTTAGTGTTATTATAAACATTTGATATACAGTGCTTGATCAAGAGCCCAAAAAAACAATATTTTGCTTTTAAATGTTTTCCACCTATTTTGAAAAAAGTCTACTTCAACGTGTATTTCTATTAAATTTGATTATAAAATTCTAATAATGTCCAGGGACTTCACAACCGTCTCCAAACGGAAAAAAGCCGTTTATCAGCAGCCGTGGCGGCTTGTTCAGCTGCCGCAGCATCTGTTTCACGTCCATCCTCTCCGGCTGACAGTGCCCCACTGCCTATCCCTCCGCGGGAGTTACACGTCAGGGCCCGACTTGAAGACCTTATTGATCAGGTAATGCGAGCAACTGCAAATGTCTTAGCTGCAGATCTGTTGTCTTTGCCTTGACCCATAGAGATAGATTGAGCGTTCCCATTTTCTTTTATTGAAGGATATTATTATTAACTTACAAACATAGCACACTTGTTTACTGACAGTACTCCTTTAAGTAGAGGAGTTTGCCATTACGAATGCTCAATCCGTTCGCTATCGTTTGATGTGCTTGGATTTTGACGTGAATCACTACTGATGATTTGAAATGATTTTATGGATGATTTTCTATTTAACTATTTTCTTAATAAAACGTAATTTAAGTTACATACTTAATAATATAAAAGATATTTCAGATAAAATTAATTATTTTTAAAACTAAATTTTCACCTTATTGCAATTTATAAGATTGCCAGGTCCGAAAAAGAACAGAACCAACGAGTTGTTATCAGAGTAAGGAAATTGTACATAGTTAATGTTTACTAATTTGGTAGATAGTTAAAAGTAGTTAGGATGAAGCAAAGGCTTTCGTTGGCTATGTATTTTTTGCACCTGGTATAGCGGGCATATTATCAAAATTAAACGTAGGTTTATAAGCATAGTCAAGTTTTTAAAGTTGTTTTTTACCAACTCAAAGAGTGATAAAATGTTCGCTGCCTTATTATTTAACTGATTTGAATTAACCCAAAATTAACAATACACTAGCACTGTTTCAATCGTAATGTAAGCCACTTGTGCACTACAAGGTACTTAGTATCATTTAAAAATTGATTATTAATAAAAATATTATATTCATTAGTGAATAATCACGTTATAATCAATTTTTTATGGTTTAAAGATTTTGTAATTACTAACCAGCACTGTTTGTTGTGACGCATGGTTTGTCTTTAGAAACATGTAAGTGAAGTGGGCAGCGCCCGCGTTGATGCTTTACTAAAGAATGTCGAAGCACCCGAGTTCAACGAGAAATTGGACACGTTAGAGAATAGGGTAAGGCTCTGTTTGATCGCAAAGTGTAATTTCAGATTGTAAATATTTTTGATTTTTTTGCACAAGCACAAAAAAAAATCCTTAAAGGATCGGCATTTACTTTATTTTCAAATATAGGTACAAAGTCATCTAGAAACTCTCCGAGATGCGGTTCAAGAAATGGAGGAGGCGATGAAACAAGTTCTTGAGATTCAAGATTGGATAAATGTTCACAAAGCTTTAGCCAATGATTGGCTCTCAAATCCATCAAAACTCCGCCCTGAAGCAGCTAAACAAGACATGGCTGCGATGAATGATGCTCTTGCGTCATTGACCGAGAAGAGGAATCGATTACTAACTGAAATTCAAACTGAAGGTATGTTACAAAAACTATTTAGGAAATAATATTTATAAGACTTGAGAATTAGTTTTTAAATATTGTTTTAATTATTTTAGGCCTCGAAGATGAAATCAATCTAGAAGAAGAGTTAGCTGAATTGGAACAGACAATTTTGAAATCTATTGAAAGGGAAAAGAACAACCAAGCCGTTATTGATGACTTCCGCCACAAATGTCAGGAGATCCACGATTGGTTTGACGCTGTACTCAAGAAAATGTGCTTGGCCGATAAGGGCTCCGGTTTGCCGTGCCCACAGAAACTCAATGCTTTGAAAGAACTTTCATCACAGTTTGATCAGGATGGCAAAGAGAAAGTAGAGAACATAAAGACAATAGGAACCCAAGTTATTAATATTGTTAGTAATTTGGAATCTCAACAAGTAGAAGAACAGGTAATGTAAACATTTCTGAGATCACAATAATTTATGTATCCTTTCGTTCCAAACAGAGCATTTTAATTTTTTTATTTCCTTTTTTAGATGAAATCTGTCGAAAGAAGATACAACGACATTGGTAAACGTATTCAGCGTAAATTACAAATGCTCGAGATAACTTACAAAGCTATAGATGGTACTAAGAGTGAAGTTGCTGCACAAAATGAATGGCTTCAAAAAGCTATTGATACTGTACAGCATCCTGAACCGCTGGGCTTTGAAAGTAAGGCTGTAAAGGAACGTCAGAAAAAAATGGCTACTCTTCTTAAAGAGGCAGACAGTAAGAAGACAGCCATAGACTCTCTTGAGAAAAAGCTCAGCAATATTCAATCTGAATTAGAACCGTCAGAGCAAATGCAGTTAGAATCGGAACTAGCTGAATTAGCTTCTAAACAAAAGCAGTTAGCATCTTTGATTAAACAAGAAATAGAACGACTGGGTGGGTGTAATGAAATCAGGAAGAAATTAGAGAATGATATGGAAAAAGCAAAGAATTGGCTCAAAGCTAAACTAGCTGAAGTTAAGAAACTAGGCGGATCCATTCCTTTAGAAGCCGCAAAAATTGAAAAAGAAGTAACAACTCACAAGAAACACCAAACGGAGCTCGCTGATTTCCAAAACGATACTTTAAGTGAAGTTATCCGACAGGGCAACGCCGTATCTAAAGACTGCTCGAATGAAAACAGAGCTAAACTTCAAGCGATGTTAGAAGATCTTAACAAAATGTACACAACCGCAAAAGTGGACATAGATGAGAAGCTGGCTGCTTTAAATAAATTATTGCAAATTAGAAATGAATTTGAGGCTGACGTTGCGAAGATTCAAAGCTGGTTGAATGAAGCTGAAGTTGCAGCTACACCGGAACTGAGAACTACAAGCCTTCAAATACTAGAGGAGCAGTTAGTTAAGTTTGAAAAACTCAGTAAAGAAGCTGACGATGTTGAAAAGAATATCAATAAGATAAAAGATAAATCCAAAGATATTATGGATTCTTTATCTGACTCCAATAAGTTACAACTTAAAGAACAAGTGAACATCCTCTCTGATAGATTTGCTAGAATTAACGCTATTATTCACGACAAAAAGAATATATTATTAAAACACATCAAAGAATATAAAGACGCTGCTGCCAAGATTGCAGCAGCCCTTGAATTCCTTAACGAGATTCAAAACAAACTAAAAGTGTTGAACAAACCAATAGGAAGTAAAGTGGAAGATGTTCAACCAATCATTCAAGCATATGAAACTATTCTGGACGACTTAAAGAAAAACAAAGCTATGCTAAATGAATTGCAAGGAGGAAATTTGCATGATTTACAGGACATCCTTACTAAACAAGATGATTTGATGAGTACAATTGAAGACCAAATATCGAAACTCAAACAACTGTTATTATTGCGTGAGCAGTTCTTTGCACTTGTGAAGGAAATTGAAGAATTTATTACTAAATACACGGAATTGACATCCGAAATAGAAAGATCAAATGACTCTCTAGAAGACAAGATTAAACGATATGACGATATCATTCTTAAAATCCAAGGCTGTGAGGCGTTGTTAGCGACTGCAACTGATAAAGGTCAACAAATCGCCGCTGAAGGCACTGTGATTGATAGAAACAATATAACTGAATTGTTGCAATCCCTGAAGCAACAGTTGTTGACATTAAGACGTACAGTTGAATCTAAGAGGCAAGAACACGAAAGAGCTGCGGCAGAACACAAAAAACTTGCTGCAGATCTCTCAGAAATATTACAATGGCTACACGACAATGAAGCAGTCGTTCTTTCAAGACCACTACTCAGTAGAGACGTGGCCAGTGTCGACAAGAAACTGGTCGAACACGCTGCATTGGCGAAGAACGTGCAATCTTATTTAGATAAATTTACTAACATCACAGATGCTATCAAAAATGACGATGGTGTACCCGGAAGCCTACTCGAGATGGTATCTGATGGCAACTCATTGAAAACGTCTCTCCCTGCCGAATTGGCGAACCGTGAAAAGCATCTTCAAGACAACAAGAAATACAGACAGCAATACATACAAATGGTTGAGAAATTAAACATTTGGGTAAACGAAGCGAATATCCGTCTCGGAATGGGTAAAAATGGGACCGACTTTGAGAACATCGAAGCTGATTTAGAAGAGCACAAGTCGTTCTTCAGTACATCGGAGCCAGAAATGAAGGACTTGGTTGGCAAACGAATGCAGGACATAGTAGACAAAATATGGTCTTCCCTAACACCGTCTGAACAGGAAGAGCTATCGAAAGAACACCAGAAGAATACACAGCTTCTAAAGAATACCTTGAATTCGGCGAAGTCACGTCAAGCGCAATTGGAACAAGATTTGGAGATATGGAAGGACTTCTGCCAGCTCGTAGAGAAGATTAAGGCAATTCTGGATAAGAATGAGATTCCTGATGAACCTGTGACTAGTGTGGACGCGTTGAGGCTGCACATCGAGAAGCTGAACCACGCCAAGTCTGACTTAGAGGTAAGTCCTATGCTCTTAAGTAGATTGTATATAGGTATGTACTTAATATTAAGCAACGATTATGATTTTGAAAACATTTTTTTGTTTACATAACTTGGAACTACGAACGAAATATCGCGTGAGAGACTGCCACGTTAATTTGACAGATAATTATTGGATATTATGAGACTCCTAAAATGTAGTCAAATCAATGACATAATATATTGCCGCGATGTTGATATTTGCAAAATTTGCATTTGCGTTGAAATTTTAATATATTATAATCGTGTTAAAGCTTTAATAAAATCCGTGAAACAGCGTAATTAAAATTTAATTAAATGTATTTTGGACACGTTTTACGTAATACCAAAACATACGAGCTCGGTCAACTAATCATACGAGACAAAGTGGCAGTGGTAAAACCTTAGACAATAGTTTTGGTTTGGTTTAAAGCACCAAGTCATTGTTTAGAAGCACGGCATCCAAAATTAAAATAGCCAAGATGATCGCCATCCTCTGCAAGGCACTATAAGAAGAATATTTAAATTTATTTCTGATCGTTAAAAGTCGTTACTTTTCGATTATGTAGTTCTTCGTATTGTATTGAATTATTTATATTACACCGTATTGAAATTGATTTATCGCTTATGACGTTTCGACATTATAGGAGCCTATAATAACATTTCAAGAATATGCAAATTAGAATTACGTCACGTAACATAATCGCGATTCGTAGTTCGCGTTCTGTTTGTCATAGTTTTACATTTTAAACTATTTTTATAGTAAACCATCGATTCCATTCGCGGCTTCGTACCAGTGGATTTCGTGTATTCTGTGTAGATTTTTTGCGACCTGTTAAACAATAATTTAGTTATTATAATATACCCATAATGAAATCACACTATTTATTGGTCCAAAAATCGGAGGTAGTTTTCGTGATTATCACGTTTATTTATACATAAGGATTTAGAGGGACTAACTTAATTGGAATAAGGAATAATTTAATTGTTTCTCTACTTTAAATTATTAAAAGTATGATTAAATTTAAATAGTTTAATGTTTCTCTGCATGCAAAATGTCGCGTTATATCGCATACGTTACATGAAAATGTATGTACTTAATTAGTAGGAACGGCCTGTGCATTTTATTATATTTATCCGAAAATTTTGCGCTAATGGAGTAAGAAAACCGCGCACTGTCTCGCAAGTTATTAAAAGTAGGAATACCTTCGTTTAGCATCATTAAGCATTTCTGTCATTAAAATTTGATGTCAGGGAAAACGTGTTATATTATATGACATAAGTCCCGGCTTCGATGTCTGTCCTAATTTTTATAATATTTCGCAAGTAATTGTTCCCCTGGCTAGCATTCTGATGATGTAATGGATCCAGTATTTGAGTTTATTCATTACTAACCTCTACAAATGAAAATCCTTTCTCTTTATGAATTTCTTTTCGTTAAAAATTGTTCTAACAAGGGTGATCAAACTTTTACGCATTCCACAATATCCTTAATATAATTAGGGAATTTTCGACAAGAAGAAACATTTTATTATCTAAATATATACTTTATTACCGATGAAATTCAAATAAGATTTCGCTACGCAAACGGTATTTTGAGTTGAATGCACTTACCGTTTATGGTTCAAGTTTATGCATTACCGGCGGCCACCCATTTCCCATTTATTTAGTTTCTAAAATTACTATTCTTGCGGAATGCGGAACTGTTTAATAGTTTTAGTTATAAAAGTAACTGAAACTTATTGCTATGATAGGTCTAAGGACCAAGCATTTTCTTAATGGGGGTTACAAAGTCTAAATTCTAAATGTAATATTAATTAATAAGTCAAAGTTTAAAGTTTATGTATAAGACCGTTTAAACAAATTGGGGGTATTTATGTAACGTGAACAATTAATTCGTTTTTATGTAGAATCTAACATGTAGAACATTACAAATTTCTCAGAATTCAAAGTTTTAACATTATATTTAAATAGTCAATGGTCACCGGCTATGGATAATAGATTTTAAAAGCCTTCAACTCAATACCATTCTTTTAAATTATTTAAAAAGAATGAACAGGTCGAATCGATAACCGGTATGGTTATTTGAAGTCAGTTAAAAAGATCCTACCATTTATTAAACCATACAAATACCAGCGCGGCACTACCTTTCGGTCTGGACCCCAGATGTATCTGTTTCGTGATTTATTTTGTATGGTGATCAGCCTTCTGTGCCTGACACACGTCGTCAACTTTTTGATTCTAATGCCGGCATCCTCACGATGTTTTCCCTTCACTGAACGAACCACTGCCTGATTTTTACTGTATTTAGATTATCAAGGATTATTAATTAATGTAATAACATAGAATTAATTTAATGTAATAGAAGTTTAATGTTTAATAAGCCCATATTTCATAACCCGTTTCAATTACATCTTGTTAAAAATATCACATCTTGTCCAGACATCGGACAGTAATACAATTATCAAAAGCCAGCCTGAATTATATTGAATTCACATCACGACCCTTGGTCGCTCTTAAGGCGAGGTGCAGCGTCTATATTTCGTAAAATATATTTCTATTTAATAAAACCCACGCCTGCGTAAAGAACTTTTATATTAATACTAGCTGACCCGGCAAACGTTGTCTTGCCATGTATATTTTTTGTAGGATTTTTTTTTAGTTCAATAAAAATACCTATCAATTAAAAAAAAAACGATCAACGTAGAGGGGTGAAAATTAAGGGTTGTATGTAAAAACATTTTGTCGAAAAAATAAAAAAATTTTTTTTAGGGTGGACTACTCTATCACTTTGGAGTTTGAAAGATAGATAGTAGCCGATTCTAAGATTTACTGAATATGCATAAAAAATTTCATAGGAATTGGTCGAGCCGTTTCGGAGGAGTTTAGGAACGAATATTGTGACACGAGAATTTTATATATTAGAAGTTAAATTTAATAGATTTAATATGCACCGAAAATGACCCCCTCATAAAAACTATATAAAATAAATGAGGCGAATTTTTTAACTAAAATTTCGTTTGTGTATCTGTCTAATTGTGTTTGCGGTGTAATCAAAAGTCACAGACGAGTGCCTACTTTAGTTGAAGCGGTGCAATTAGATAGATTTAGTTTTTTAAAAAGGGTTCTAATTTTTAAAAGGAAATTAGTTTTGCTCTATGTTCGTTACGGTTGACTCAGTCCAGCTCAGAGTCGCTGTGAACACTCTATTGTGGCATTAATTTCGTTGTTGCACAGTTTTTAAACATCGATTTACAATTCTTCGATAGGCTGCAATTAGATATATTTGGGACTTCTGTATGGCTGAGATCTTAAATCCTAATTCCTAAATGGCTCAGCTCAATAAAAAAAAATGTTTCAATGAAATTTAATGATAGTCAGCAATGTACTAGTTTCATTTACATGTTCCAATTACAGCTATTGTGTGTATGTTAATGCGATACCACAATTGCTTCATTTCATGGTTCATCGATATGAGCGAGCATTGTACCACGTATTTATACAATTTTTGCAAAAATCTACAAAAATCCAATATGTTTCGATTGTGAGAAAATAAGTTCAGGATTAAATATAAATTATAATGAAACAACACAATTGTTTTTAACTTTTTGTTGATGTGTACAAAACCATTGTCTCGCTTAGAGTCAAATAAATAAGTATAGACCATACTTATTTATTTTTCGAAGTTTTATAGGCACCACGGTTCGATAATAATAGTTCAATATTTAAAATAGATTTCGCATATTGCAATGATTTAAATTAATAAATAAAAAACGGGTGATTTTTCCTTTTTGATTTCCCTGAAATAATTTAATTAGGCCCATACAATTACATTATGATTAATCTATCATTTATATTATTTATATAAATGATCGAATACTAAGAACGCAATATTTTGTTTTGATAGCGAAGATTTAGTCTATAAAGATTCTATATATTATTGATACTGTTTATGCTCATGAAAAACTTTTTAAACTTAAAAATAATTTTAATATGAAGTTACACAATTATTTGAGTGAAAGCCTCTATCAAGCGTTAACAACGCAGCAATTGTGATTGCAATCAATACATTGGGGAAATCCCGCTGTTTCTTCGAAGCCCCCTTTATATAAATAATGATAGCTATTCCTGTCTAGACTCTGGGACTTATTTAATCTAGGTAACAATATATATTTCCTAGAATTACTTTTGGTTAGTGGTTTTGTAATTAATACCGTAACAGTAATGTAATATGATGTTTTCTCTTTACATTGTTGTTAGGCTATATCGAGGTAGGTATAGTAGGAAAAACTATTTCCCCAATTTTGAAAATTACAGTAGAACTTGCTAATTTGAATGTGATTAATGTTTTTCTATATAAATAATAGGTAAATGCACTACCTTTACATTGAATTAAGTAAATAGTCTTATCTTATAACTTAAGCGTGTCGAACACTATCAATTTAAAATATAAATTTCTTGCTGTATAATTTTCAATTTAAGAATTACATTCATAACTTTTAAATACTTTATAATCTTTGTTAAGAAATGGCTTTCCACCCACCATCAAAGTCCGAGCAATATTATCACAAAACATATACGGACACCTGTCGCTAACCGTCGGAACCCTATACTGAATCACTATCGAAATGATTGTACAATTAGCGAAACGTTGCCTTAACTGGTGATGTCATGCAATGTTGTCAATTCAAGGCCTCTCAGTCATCGTCCGAACACAGAGCAATGAGAACGCCGTCATCAAAAACACAATCAACTTTCTTATTGTGCATTTGTATTTACGTGACTACTTAAATTAAGGATTTGTAAGTTTTAAACATTCCGCGAAAAAGGAAGGTGAGTGTGGGTTTTGTCATAGTACATGACTTTACAGTTTTGGTTGATTTCCGGTTTCACTTTTATATCCGGTAACAATTTGTTTAGGATTTTGTCTGATGAATGAAGTATTATGTTTTAATTTCATTGCAATGTAAAATTGAGGTGAGGGCTTTTAATAATTAGGATTTAAAATCTCAGACATACAGAACTCCATTAATATATATAAATAAATAAAAAATAAATAAATAAATATCTCTAATAACCTATTAAACAATTATAATCATTACTTAAAAACGGTTTTAACTAATTTTTTGTGTGTTTTGTTGTTATCGTGTCGTAATGATCGTGTAATTTTCGTCATTGTGACAATTGGTAACCAGTGATTATTAAAGGTTCACCCTGTCTGATTATTCAAGTGAATATTTTACGAATTCGTTCGACGTATAAAATTTCCATTTATTCTTGGGTTTATTTTAAGGAAATTATCAGCGGAAGCTACAGTTGACAGTGTTTCCCTCAAATATCCTTGCAAATATATACAAACATTGGGTTTACACGTCGAACACAGAAAATAGGTTAGGAGTTTGTGATTAAATTTATGTATTTTGCGTGCCGGGATCAAATCACTTAACAATCAATTATTATTTATTCACAATAAATGTTTGTAATCTCTTAGGTAACGAGACCCTGAGAGATAGACTTCTCCGATAGAATATGCTTGTCTTGGTTACAACTCGGAAGATTTTAGTTAAGAGCAGTGGCCTTGTGGCTTCAGCGTGCGACTCATCTTCGTCGTAGGTTTAAACCTGTGCACTAATGGACTTTCTGTGTGCATTTAACACTTGCTCTTACGGTGAAGGAAAACATGGTTTCCCAAAAAGTTGACGGTCGGTGCGTCACGTACAGGCGGATTACCTACTTGCCTATTCGAAAAATGTATCACCAAACAGATATCGAAGGTCAATTCCAAAGGTTGTAGCGCCATTGGATTATTTAAATAGAGATACATTATAGTTCAACTTTCTCGTCTGCCCTTTATGTGGTCTCGGCTCGTTGTATTGTATCCTGATTAATATCTAGGTTGTCTGAACCGGTCTCCATATAATAAAGAATTGTTCAACGACGTTTCGGAATTTACATAATTGTATGTAAATCCTTAAATACTTTTGTATTTACAAGGGTTTGTTTTATCGTTAAAATGTGAACTTGAATTGGATAAAATTATATTTATTTGCACTAAAGTGCGATACTTATGTTTATATTATTAATTGGAATTAATGAAATTTCCTAGGCAAAATCATATTATTTTTACTATTATATTTACTTATTATGTCTATTAATTACGTTAAAAATATATCTAAAAAGTATCTCCAATTAATATTAACTATAATATTCATCTAATCCTGTCTTTATTACGTAATAAATAAATATGTTAAAATAAATAATAAATAAGTCTTTTTTAATTAGTAGATTCACCAGGAACATATAACATGCATTAAAATGGTTTAATGAATTATTCAGATTTATCAAACGCAAGTGTAATGTAATTAGGATGTAATCAGATGTCGTTCTGCTACACAGTTCCAGTTTTCCGCTTTTCTTTTATATAGAACATCATACTTAGTGGTTCTGGCTCTTGATAATTTAAATATACATTAATATCTATCAGTCGTGAACCAATATCAATTGTGGCACATATACTCTCTAAACGCATTTCACTATATATTTGAATAAAAATACACCATATATAGAATTATGGTTCATAATAATTTTCCCAAGTTAATTAAAGACAAAATACTCGTATTAATTATGGATAGAACCCGTGTTTAAATAATTAATTGTAATTTTTAATGTATACCAATTTCTTTACTTTGTTTAGTGTAATAACATTTTTCAATGCATGGTAACATAATTACAACTAACGGGTCTGTTCAGGCTTCGCGCGGCTGAACATTTATTTTTTATATCTAGAATTATTTAACTATTAGTTACATACATAATGAGCTTTTTAATAATGACAGAAGTTTTGAAATTGATCCTGAATTTTTATAAACAGAAATATATCAATTTTTCATCGTCGTTATAATGTTAGTACAGAAATTATCCGAAAATATTTTTCATAGTAAGATAAGTGACATTAAAAATGGATAATACCAGCCATTTCGTCTATAAAATATAGGAACAATTTAACACAATCGAATACTGTTAAACAATTTTACGACACAACTTTACATTTTAAATATTTAAGGTCTGAATGGGAGTTGCGAAGACATTTTAGTCACCGCTCACGTTTGACCATGTGTAGCGATGCTAAAAATAGCGGTTATGCGATAACCATGCAAGTCCCAAGGTCATGGCCAATATGCTCGTTTTCCTTCATGTTTTCGTATATAGCAACTTTGACATCCTGACATTATAGTTAAAAATTTGCTAGGTATAGTAGTTAAAATATTAAAACGATTTTTGTAGAACCTGTTATACATAGTATCATTTATATAAGAATTTATTTTGTAGTACGTTTATTGCTGCAGTATATAAACGTGATTTAATAGTCCATTATTTATTAGTGTTTTTAACAAAATCTCTATGTTCAGCAGGCCTAAAACATACTTAATGAATAATTAGTACAGTGCTCGATGCCGTGGTTCAAAACTGAAAAAAATTAAATCTAATTAAATACCATTTCCAAAAGAAAATACAAAAAAATAGCAACTATAGGGTATAATAATGCCACTTCACAAAACGTAATCACCGATTTTATTTTATATATCGATTTAGATTAAATAAATTTTATTTCATTTTTTCGAGAAACCATAGAAAACAAAATCGTTTATCCTAGTTAAAATATTTTGTATAAAGTAAAGTTAAGATTGTTATATAACGTTGGATTAAATTAATCGTTTAACCTCAAAGTTAAAATATTTGTAAGTCAATGGCGATGACTTCATTATGTTTTTAAATTGATAGTTTGCAAATACGTTGGCGAGTTTCTACTTCCGGCTGAAGTATTTCCAAATATTTAAAAGTTATTTAATGTTTTTGCCTATGCTCTGAGGCTGACATTGAAATGCTTAGAATCTATTAACAGCAAATTAACAACATTATTTAAAATGACACTTTGTTAATAGTCTGAATTCTTGTTAAAGACGAAAGCTTAAACATAGAAGAATCTGCTTTATGTAAGATCGCTTTACATCGTTTGTTTTCATATATTTAATCTGTTTCTGTTGTGTTATTGTGAAGATAAAGTGTTATTATTTAATATGAATATTAAAAATCGCTTTGGTAGTTTTAGAATTAATTCATTACAGACAAAGAAAGTCTCGTTATGTTAGAGTACAGCACCAGGTCTATAGGTTCCAGTAGAGTCGTAAGGTTAAAACAACGGAATGCAATCGAAACCACATTTATTACTAAAACAAACTTGGGAGTTAGAAATTAGACTCACCACAAAAGTTAGCTCGATTTTGTGTTGCTGAGGAAAATTCAGGCATACACAAGGTAGGAAAACCAAAAAAACAAAAAGTCGCGAATTGTATTTCCAGTTTGTCAAAATACGGCAGCCATACTTAGTACTATGTTACATAGACTTCTAATTTCGGGGTAATTGTCCAGAACTCTACTAGATTTCGTTCGGTTTGCAATTTATTATTATTAGATCATGATAATTAATATGATATTTGTATGCCTATTTTTATATGGCTGATTTTGCGGTTTTTATAATTAACCAGTCAGTACCGCTGTCTTTGCAAATAAACGATTAATTTATTATTTATTAAAAAAATCACAAGAATGTTAAGTCTAATATTATCGACAAGGTCATAACAACACGGTACGACGAATTTTCGCTAGTTATCGCTTATCACTGATAACATTGTAAATAAACTATGCAACATAACTGTTTTTAATACTTTCGCCGGTGATATGATAAGGTTATATTTACGATATACTTAGTCTTGTGTGATTCAAGTCATTTTAAAGTGTGTTAAAAATAGCTGTTTGAACATCTTCGGGTTCTTACAAAATTGAGTTTTTTACAATTATCGTCTGTAAGTTGGTTCAAGTGTGAATACGTTTTTGCATGGTTGTGTAAGTTAAACAATGGACTATTAAAATATTTGCAAGGCATAAGGAATGTTTATTTTGAAAGCGTTATTTCTGCAGTTCAGTTTACTAAGAAATATTAGTTTTTACAAACAAGAGAATTCACTTTAAAGCTATTTTTTTATTTTATCTTCACTAATTATATGAAAGATGTTTTCTTTGAAATTGATATGATATATCAGTGTTTTCAACGTTTTCAAAAATGCATTAAAATTATTTGGAATTTGAATTTCAGTTTTTCTCTATGTTGTACCATTAATTATTGATTTACACATACATACGTTTCTTTATAGTAGACAGGAAACAAAAATTACATACAACTACTTAGGTTTGACAAATGACTAATTAAAACAACCCACATTCAAGTATTTTTAATTTGTTTTACTAATTTATTATTACTATCGACTCTGGAAAAAACCTATAAAAATATAACATTATGGTTACATCTGTTTTTTTAGAACCAGCAGCCGCTCCTCGACGTAGTTCGGGAGCGTGCTCGCGAGTTGTCGAGCGGCGCAGACGCAGCGAGCGGTGAACGCGTCGAGCACCGCACGAGGGAACTCGCTGAACGTTGGAATATCGCATGCGAAGGTATTTGTTAGACATTACAGTCAAAATCTGTTATAACGACATCGACGGGACTCATATTTAATCGTAAAAACCGATAGTTTTAACAGCCGATGACGTTATTAAGAACCTAATACAATAGAATTCAGCCGGGACCTTTGATTTTGGTCAATATAACCGGTATGTTATTCTGAACAATGTCGTCGTAAACGGTTTTGACTGTACATTGTGTGTGTATATAAAATAGGATAAATGTCGTTGTATACCAAATTTAGTGATTAGAAAATAGTGTTTTCTGAAATATGCTGGTAATTGCCACGATAGATTTGTTTTAGTCAATTTTTTATTTTAGATTAAGGTTGGTAATTTTGTATAATTTTTCAGGGTTACTTGTAATTTTATTTAGTATTTTTTACTAGGGTTGCCTGGAAGAGATCGCTTGTTAGCGATAAGGCTATTGCAACCCTAATAAGTAATGTTACCTACTTGTTTTTATTTGTAATGTAACGAAGTTTAAATAAATACATATTCTGAACCAGTTAATTTTACTATACATAATTTCTCAGTTCGCTATCAATCTTTATATCTGATACTTTTCCAATTAAACAATTTTTTTTTTTACTAATTTATCGTATTTGATCGAGTATCTATTATACCAGGCTTAGCCAAGCGTGCAGCAACCGCAGACACGCAACTCCACCGTTGGACCCAACTACTCGACACTCAAAGGGGTCTCTCGTCTGCTATCACAGCTGCTAACGATAGGCTTCGGCAGTTAGACGCTAGTCCAAGTACGAGGAGACGCGCTGTGGACACAAGGCATGCTCTGCAGGTGAGAAAAATAATGTAAATGTATTTAGGTACATATGATGTCGATAGGACGTAATTAGCCCAGCACTCAGAGAAGTGTTGGCCTAGTGGCTTCAGCGTGCGACTCTAAACCCTGAGGTTGTAGGTTCTATCCTCGACTGTACAAAGGACTTCTTTATGTGCGCATTTGACATTGGCTCGAACGGTGAGGAAACCGGCTTGCCTTAGACCCAAAAGTCGAAGGTTTGTGTCTGGCACAGGCTGATCATATACTTGCCTATTTGATTGACTATCATTTAATATGATATAATAAAGAAAATACTTTTTTACTGGATTGAAGTTATGTATTATTATAAATTTACAATTATTTTACATAATTTTAAATTTTTCCGACGTTTCGCGTGCTTTACAGCGTGCGTGGTCACGGTGACTGAAGACAAAAGGTGTTGAATGTCAAAAAGTATCACAGCTGTAGAAAAAGTTGTGTTATCTGTATTTATTTTCCCGGAGTTGATATCGACTAAAAGATGGAGGATCTGGTAACAAAGTGTTTTCTTTAAATGTGTAAAAGTCAATCTCAATTAAAGGCAAAACTATAATTATTTTAATTTATATTTATACATTTAATATAATAAATTTGATTAATTTATCATAAAACAGATACAGAAATCTGAGACTGGTTCTCAGACCTAAAAAGGTTGTAGCGCCACTGATTTTTTTTAAATTCACTCAGTAAATTGTTATGTTAGACAGACCTTCGCATCCATAGTAACACTGACCAAGCCTGATCATAGTTTAAGTCCGCTCAAATTTCAAATTCATTTCTCATTTGTTTTTAGGCAAGTAGGTGATCAATCGGTAGCGCTAAAGTTTTAAAACTGGCTTAAAAGCTCTATTCTATGTAGACGCTTTTATATATGAGTTAATCATTTATGGTTTACGAATTTCACACTAGAATCTTACAAAATTGTGAATTTAATGTATTTTTATCAGGAGCTGCAGACTGAAGTATCAAGCCTTGAAGAGAGTCGTGACGACTTGTTGGAGCACGCGGATTTCGTCGTATCACTATTAACACCACATTCGCAGCAGTTGGCTGAAGAAACGCGCGCCGGTGTACAAGACCTTGCAGACGCATATGAGAAGTGAGTATTAGTGAATGTGAATGTGAATCCAGGAGCTACTAGAGATATAAAGTGGATGAAGCGAGAGGTTGCTAGCGTAGCAAGTGGAGATCCGTGGTCTCTGCCTGCCTCTTTAGAAAAAGGCGTGAATATATAAAGAAATCTAATTTAAATGATTCATTTAGTATTTGAAGTGATGTAGTATTTTGCACGTGATATAGAGAGATAAAGCTTTACCTGATTGGAAATAGATGGCGCTATGCTCAGTATAATTTTTTTATACATACCCGATTTTTAAAAGATTTCAACATAATTTCATAGGTATCTATGTGTTGTAGCTTGATGGGTGTAAATAATTATGGGATAATGGTAAGTACTAGATGTAAGCTTTAAAAAGTAATATGAAAAGATACAATTTTATCAAAATTAAAAAAAAAATCGCCCGAACGAAAGGCGTTCTCGGGCTAACGTGAACCCAATTAATAAAGTTTGTATAACTTCGTTCATGAGGATAAATTTCAATTTATATAAACAATTAATCTACAGTTAATGTATATGTATGTACACATAGTATCTGTGTACATAGAATATATCCACTTAAGCAAATCATGTAAACAAATGTGAACATTTCATATTGAAGATGCTCTTCAAGTGTCGCTAAGCAGAACACTTTGTTCTTGCTAATTGGCTTTGAAATAACTTACATGTTGTAGAACAAGGAAATACTAGTTATTTTTTATTTGTTGTTTGGTTAATTATTAAACGTTTTAAAAGTTGTCTTCAGTCCTAAGAATGGATTAATTCGTACCTTCGTAACGAACTTCCTTACATTCGTAAGATGATATATGTTCTAAGTTCTTGATGTCCCATTTGGTATTCGGGGTGAGATTTTAAGTCTGACTTACCGCTAACTATGACTCCCGAATGTCAATACGTTTCTGACATAAGAGACATTTGGCGCTAAGTATCGACTCTTAATCGTAGAAGCCAGAGGAAAAATTACACTAAACTTCTTGCATTTCTTCCCATACTCACATTTCTGCGTCCATTTCATTGAGTCATATTCTACTGAGGTCAGAACCCATGAGTTGTTGCGGCTCTTATTTAAATATATATAAACGACATCCGGCAAAACCCCTGTCGCTATTAAATCGATCGAAACTTGAACGTTTTTAAGGCAGTTCTGCTGCGCACCACCAATATGTGGAACCAGCTGCCCACTGAAATACTTCCAAACCAATTCGACTTAGGGTCCTGCAAGAAAAGAGCGTATGTAATGCCTTCCTTCCTTCCCAAGCCCTCTGGCATTGCGAGTGTCCATGGGCGGCGGTATCACTTAACATCAGGTAAGCCGGCTGCCGTTTTCAAAAAAATCTTTGTTTAGAGACGAAGAAAACATGCGCTAATGTACCGTGACGATTTCAAATGCACTGCGTAAATAGCGAATTCTTAAACAGACTTGAACATTATCTTAGCTGGCTTCAGTCGTATAATTAAGTAATACGCAGTTATTAATAAAAATAATATTGTAAAGCTTAATGGAATAATTGTTTTAAAAACTAAGGAAGCCTGAGTGAGCAAAATGTAAAACACATGACGTTTTTAATTATTCGTTAAGTGAACTGACAAAAGGTCTACTTCAAGTCAATTCCTGTAATAAATAGTCTTTTCATAAATACTTTAATCTATTATTGTTTAATGTTGCGTTGTTTTTTTCACGAAGATGTGCAGCGTTTTTGTCGAAGTAAATGGAGAGAGCGATTGAGACCGATTGAGAGAGAGTGAAAAATTTCGCAAAGAGAATTTACGAAATATTAGCACCTATGTTATATTTTATGCAAATAATTTATTGAAATCTCATATGACGAATTGTAAATTAAAATGCTACGTGTTTTTAATATCGAAGAAATAAATTTAAAAAATTAAATTAATACTTTGGTATAATTTTTTTCACTGAATATTTTAATGACAATTAAATTCATTAAATTTCTTACATATCTTCCTTTTTCCCTCCCTCTTAGACACGGAATATAGGGGTTTAGATTTGTATAAATATGAACTTAAAAATTAGTTTGCCAAAGAAGTTTCACACACGACATGTGTACTTGGTACGCACGCACTTTTTTATATGTGTGTGTATGTGATATAAATGGGGGTAGTTTATTTTAGTGTTAAATAAATATATAAAACTTTTTCAGCATCTATATTTGTCGGTGATATAATCATAAAATGGCGTCACGTCTCAGCAATGATAATATTTGAATGATTAAGTGAGCGACGAATATAATAGTTTTTATGATAATTCCGTCAATGATGTAACTAGCGCCTTGAGACGTGCGATGGTGATTTGATTTGCCGAACTTAAAATACACGCCGGCTTACTCATAGACATTGTTGGAGAATTGGAGGACTATGTTATTATTAGCGTATTGCCACGGTGTGGTTTTCAAGAGGCGTATTCCAGAATGTTAGCAACGCATATTTCTAGCAAAATATGGAAGTAATAAGTTTATTTTTAGCTCGGAGTTGAAGCGAAACGAGTATGTTCGTGTTATTATGATCGCGTTGGAAATAAATTAACGTTACAAAGAACACACTTAAATGTGAGATACAGAATCGAGCTAATCTCCCTTTAAGTACTTGCGTGCTCGGTGTAAAATATAATATAAACTCAGAACCGTAGGGTTGATATTTAATCGATTGCGTTACCAGACAGTGGTTGGGGGTGTAATCGTTACGTATTCAAACGGCTAGACTATTTCAGATCGGTTCGCGCATGCGTAGTTCGTGTTTTATGGGTCAGGGCCTTGCAGTATGAACTGGAACCGTCTCAGTGCTATACATAGAACGCTCGTTATTACTCAGCATAACTTTTACATCTCACATGCAATGCGGACGAATCGTTCAACCCTTTATGTTAAATTCGACTTGAACACCTGCAATTTTGGGTGCATGCCTTCAACCGACATAACCTCGCGTGTCCTGAGCCGCCGTATTGTTGTATGTATTAGTGTTTATTTATAGTCCGGTGAGTCACCAGTCCACGCGGTTAAACTGTGTTGATTTTACTTCCCTCGACGGTTTTGGCAGGCAATTTTAAGTGTTTACCTCGCCCACACGCTGCGGCGCCGGCCGGCTAGGGGTGTCGATAAGCGCATGTCCCTCCGTTGCGCAACGAGTTCATTTCTTCACCTGTCAAGTACTGCGCAAGGTCGCCCGCTCACGTCACCGTATGCTTGGAACATATGCCGGCGCTAAACGTAAACATTAGTGCAGCGAAAATTTAATATGATGTCATTGGGTCGCGTAAAATAAATTTAGACACGGTAGTCGAATGTATAGAGCGCTTCATTGAGCGACGGGCGAGCATAGCGAGCGGATCGCCGCTAGCCGCTGCCACGAACGAAAAGGTACATTGCAACCGCTGCGACCTTGCGCCGTCATACCACGTCACGCCGTGCCGGTTTTATTTTCGTCGCGTTTTGGCAGCTCTTCCCCATTTGTTAGGAACTCGGCACACTTTGTATACGTGCATAACGTTCCTTTTTTGTTACAGATTGCGACAGACTCTTGCGGCGAGACTCGCGGAGATAGACGAAATCGTTTCTGAATTCGATCGCGTGTCCGAAAACATTGAAAAGTTTCGCCAACAGATCGAAGTTTACATCGCCAAAGTCGGGACCTTCTACGTATACGGGGAAGACGACGCGGACGGTGTCCGCGATTTGGCAAAACAAGTTTCTGATCTTGTTGACAATACGAAGGGCTTCACCGAAGATAGCAGGAAGCGATACGGAGGCTCGGCGCCAGCTGACGTTGCGCAGGAATTGTCTGCTTTAGAATTATCAGCAGAAGCATTAGCCGCAGCCATGGAGGAGAAGGAGAGGGAGTGGAAGAGAGCGAAGACGGCCCGCACCGAATACGCAACAGACGTCGAAAGCGTCCAGGCGTGGGTCCGGGCGGCTGAGCTCACAGCCAAAGAGAGGACTCTACCCCCAGAAGCATATAAAGAAAGATTGGTATCAACCAGATCTGAAATTCCTAATATTGCAGACCGCATGGAAAGACTTAGCCGTAATGCCCGTGCGATTGTAGAAGGAAGCAGGGACGCTGCGGAACGCCAACTCATTCAATCCACAGTCACAGCGTTATCTGAACAATTCAGCGCTGTCTGTAGTGAACTGGAAGCTCGACAGACTGCTGTCGAAGACGCTTGTGATGCCGTGGCTAGATTCCTTGCCTTGTTAGAGAAGGTCCTACTATGGGTAGAAACACAACGTGCTTTCCTTGCGCGGCCACTTCCGTTGGCCGACTTGCAGGAGGCCCAGCAGAAACAAACTGAATACGGGGTATAATTTATTACTGTTTTTGCTTTGATTTAAAAGAAAAAAAATCTACTATATTATTATTATTTTTTACAGAATGCTCTTAAGAGTTGTAAGCAGCAAGCTAAAAATTTGGCAGACATGGCTAAAGAAATCGAAGTTATAGAACGCGTCACCAGTCCGGGAGATTTACCTTCTAGATTGGAAGCGGCCGAAAATGCTACAGTCGATGTCGAAAAGAAATTAGCTAAAACAGTCCGTATTCTTTAACCAACAATTTTAGATGTTGTTTAGCTTGCGGTTGATTAAAATACTTTTTTATTTACAGAATGGACTGTTACAAGAATTAGCAGAAGAATGGGAAAGGTGTGAAAAGAAATTAAAGGATGTAGGCCACTGGATAGAAGCTACTACTAGGACCTTAGAGGCTCCTCAAAGCACGAAGAAGCCACTCAGAGATAGACTTGCTCTGAGAGAGAAACTCATTAACGACATATCAACACAGAAAACAAAAATATCTTATGCCGTCGAGAAACTCAACGTGAGTTTGTGTAGTATTTTGGGTTTGGGTCGCTTAGTCATGGTGTCGGTCTAAAATTCCTGGTCGTATTAAAATGTCGTTTCGATCACGTTTTCCATGTGCACATTTGAACATTTCAACTTTTATTTGCGAACAGGTACACTTTGGCCCGGAAGGCGTGGCGTCGCAGAGTCAGTTCCCCGAAGGAGTTCAGATTCTAGCACGAGACCTTTGCGAGTCTTTAGACTCCCTCGGTTCTAGAACTTCTGGCCAAGCTCAGCAGTTGGCGGCCGCGCTCGCCCAAGTGGAAGCCTACTGCGCTGACATTGTGCGCCTGCGCACTCAGCTGCTGGAGGCCGAACAGCGGCTGAGGCATGCCGCTCAGCCCAACTACAGCCCTCGAGATCCAGACACGAAACTCAGGCACCAACAGGTAAGAACCGCTACGTCTAGCTTCATCACGCACCGATATTTAGTAGGTGGCTAGCGATTTTCTAGTTTTGTTTATTGAGTGGTGAGGCTCTCTCATCGATAAACACTTATAGCACCGTATACACCTGTATATTATCACCGATCACGCGATTCATGTTAATTTTCTTTTTGTTCTCTCTTCCACCCTTGACCCCTACTAACTTATAAACGGTCCTCTGATAGGAATGTCGAGATAAAGTAAAATCACTTCAAAGTAAAATTCAGGCTCGAAACGAACGCATCAAGTTGCTCGTACAGCGCGGCGGTCCGGACGCCGACCCTCTCAGGGACGCTTAGATGCGTCGATAAAAAATTCACTAGGCTTAAGTCGACCCTTAGTTATAACTTACTATATTAATTGTAAATTGATTTTGCGAAATATAAACGACCGATATCGCAGCCACCCTCGTTTTTTTTTCTCCTTCATCGCTCACCGAACCCGTTAAATTATGTATGTCCGTACTTACGTATCAGGAATTCACCCGGCGTATCGAAGAGCTGACTCGGAGCATCTTCGAGTTGGACCCGTTCTACGTGGTGGAAGACGACCCGGCGGCCACTCTAGCGATGCTCGTGTCCACGGCTGACCGAGCGCGCGCTAATCGCCGCCCACGCTCTCCCGAACGGCGAGAGGCCCGCAGTCCGCCCACGCCCGCCTGGCTGCTGCCTGGTACCACCTACGCCGAGATAGTCAAGGGGCAAAACTCGCGCTCCAGCTCTATTGACTCGAGACAGCATAGCGCTCAGCGAGTCACGCACAGAATGCATACACCTGAAGCGATGGAAGTCGAAGTCAAGGAACCGGTCATTAGAGAGATGACGATTGGCAGCGCGAGTCCTGAAATACAGCAAAGTGATAGTGTAGTGAGAAAGTCCTCACCAAGTATGAGTGAAACGTGGGATTACAGTGAAATCCCCCAGTGTCGCAATAGTGAGAGTGATATATTCAGTGAAAACGTCTCCTATGATTCAGTTTCAAAGACACAAAATTACTTATACGGCAGAAATGAAGATGTGGATGCAGGATCCGCCATCCAACAAAATCCAACGACATCAGTAGAAAGTCATTTGACTCAGATTCTTACTTTACCACAATTGCAAACTCCCGACGATAGGGCTAGGTCAATAAGTCCAGCGAATAGATATAGATCGCAAGATCTATCGTATGCTGAAATTTTAGCTCTTGGACTCAAAAGGCAACCAAAAACACAGGTTATAATGTCTTTACCTAAACCACAGGTAGCCCAAGTTGAAATAGTAAAAGAAATTATCGTTGAAGTTGAGAGGGCTCCCCAACAACACGTTATTGATAAAAAAAATATGTCTAAAGATACTACAAAATACAGGTCTGAACGACCAGATAGGCCAGAGCGACCTTCACAACGAAGCCGCTCTAGAGATATGCCTCGTCAAAGAAGAGGACCTGAAAAACGACCGACCAAAAATCATGATACACAAATATTAAAAAAGAAAAAAATAACTAAAAAAGTTATAGAAGTGGAAGAATTTGAAGAAACACCTGACGTTGTTTCTACAGGACCAATAAAAACTGTTATAAATCCACCATTGCCAGAAGCACGAGAAGATGATCTTATATTGAAGTCCCCATTTATAATTACTGTAGAAACCAAAAATGCTAGTGATGTTGATGAATCGAAATCAGAATCTATTGAACCTATCAATAAAAAACTAAAAAAGAAACCAAAATCAAAACGTACTAAAGATAGTGACGATGAGATTGAAAAAGCTCTAAAAGAAATTGAGAGAAATTCATCCAAACAAAGAAAAAAGAAACAAAAAACTATAAATGAAAAACCAAAAAAAGAAAGCGACACTGCTATAATAACATGCAACACAGAATCTTTAGACGTGTCCGAGGAACTCGTAAAGCAAGAACCCACAAGTCAAGTGATAAGCATGGATTCTATAACTGATCAACAAGAAATAAAACCACAAGATGTTGTAGATGTTTCTATTCATATATCTATTGATTCTGCATGTAAGGAAACAGATGATTCTTTTATTAAAGGTAAAATTACAAATACTGATGAAAAATGTAAAAAAAGAAAGAAAAGTAAAAAGAATAAAGTTTCATCGGAATTAAACACTCAAAAATTAGATGATATTGAACAATCTATTGAAAGTAACGTTGAAAGCAAAAGTCAGATGATTGAATTCAAGGAAAATGTACAAGTACTGCAAGAAAACACAATATATACACTAAAAGAAAATAGTACATTAAAAGAAAATTTAGTTACTCTGGATTGGAATGCTCTAATGGAGGAAGAAGAAAATGTTACAGAGTCTTCTATTCCTCTCGAAGGAGAAAACTATCAAATGAAAGATATATCGGCACAAGTTGCTACCGAAGTAAATATTATACCAGAAAACAATGAAATTTATGATTCACAAAGTATTTCACAAACAGACCTGTTCACAGAACCACTTAGTCAAAATATTGTTGAACAATATGAAGATCTACTAAGCACAAACCAGGAACAAGAACCTGAGTTCTCTGAACCAAGTACTTCCACGTTGCCTAGTATAAATCAGGAAGCGTGTACAGTTGATTTTAATGTGGGTACAGAAATAATACAACCACCACACATGATGTATCAATTACATAAAAAAGAAGGTCAACCATCGTTAGAAAGTAAAGAAGAACTTGAAACATATTCATCTAGTGACATAAAACATATAAAAACAATCATTGACGAATCTTCTGATGATATTAAGCCAACTTCAATTATTTCAAATAAAAGTGAGAAAAATAACAACTATAAGTTTATACCAATTGATCCTTTAAAAGAGATTAATGATGTGGTGGAAACCGAAACTTGTAAACCACACGACGTAGATACTCATACAATTTATCTAATAACTCACGAAGAAAAGAAGCTACCACCTATTAGAACTGTCAAAGTATTTACAAGTAAGGACGTTCCTACCGATGATGTAATTGAAAATCCCAATAACGAACCATTGACTTCAAATGTAACGGAAGAGATTATTGAATCTGTGACCAGTAATGAAGAAATACAATTCAGTGACGTGCAAACTACATCCGAAATAAAATCATTTAATATAGTAAATTATAATGAAACTGTAAATGAAAATGCTGCTAAAACTATAACTAATGTCGCCACTGAAACTGAAATTGACAAAACTGAAATGTATGCATTAGAAGAAGTAATATTTGGATCGGTTCAAGATCGAAATAAATCCAAAGAAAATACAGAAATTCCCTACAAAGAGCTCATCGACGAAGTCAAAACATATTCCATAAATTTGGACTATCAGCAATTAGACTATAACTTTTATGAGCTGATTAAAGGCGAAAAAGAAATTCAGTCCCAAAATTATAATGAAAACGAATTAGCTTCGAAGCCAGAATTATTACCTGTACTCGATTTAACATTAACTGAATCCGAATTTCAGGGTTCAAATGAAATATCAGCAATATATGAAAAGCCTATCGATGACTATTTCAAAATTACAGATTCTGAAAAGCTATTGGGCTGTATTAAAAGTATTGATGAAATAGAAAATGTAAAAGTGGTTTCGCCTTTGTCAAATGTATATCATATAGATAAGAAACAATTACCTGAATGTAAAACGGTAAAATCATCTAATTCGGAAGATGAAAATTTGCCAAACAATTCAGAAAACACAATCTTATTAAATGAGGTTGTAATCAATATGAAATCTGAAATGCCACGGCAAATTTACTATGAACTTCGTGATGCAGAGAAAATGTTGGGGGTCATGAATTATAATAAAAAATTGTATATTATTGATGTGAATAAAGATAACGAGAAAGAAGTCATAATTCAAGAAACAGACATAAAAAACAACCCTATACGACAAAATATTTCTGGTGTTGAGGAGAATGCGGGCGATGTATGTAAAAAATTAAAGTGTGAATATGAACAACTACCATACAGTTATCAAGAAATTAAAAAGGCTGAAGAAGTTTTGGCAATAAAGAATTCAAGAGAAGCAAGTGTGGAACCTGCAAATATAATAGAAAATCCTCAAGGAAGTAATATGGCTTTACAAACGAATAACATTAGTATTGATCAAAACAAAGAGAAACTCAAAAATTATTCTTCACATTTGATTGAAGTTCCGTATTATTCGTACATTGACATTAGAGACGCAGAAATTTTACTTGCGAGTATAACCAAAACTGTCCCCCAGGAACCACTAAAAGAAACATTGAAAAATGAAAGTGATTTGGATATTACTTACATTAAAACTGAAGAAAGTTCTATAAATGAACCATTAAATGACTTAGATGTCCAGATACCCCTTAAAACATTCGTGAATAATTCCTTAATCATGGAAATACCACGATTCAACTATCAAGAAATTCAAAACGCTGAAATGAAATATGGCCAAACATGTGTCCAAAATACCAAATTGTGTCAAAATACTGAACCTGCTTTGTCAGTTTTTGAATCTAGTTCTCCTAATGTGAATGACATGAAAGGCGAAGTATACCTGGAAGTATCTAAGGCTGATGCATTGGAAGGAAGCAATGATAATGATGTAATCACAAGGAATTCAACTCTTTCAAAGGAGTTATTAAATAGTGAAACTGAAAAGTATGTTGAGAAGATTATTACACAAGAGTGTAACGTGAACTCTAATTTAAATAAAAAAGAACTAGAAGAAAATTCAGCTGACATTGCAACATGTACATTAGATAACATTAGTCGGGAGGATGAAATACCCTCAGTAAATATTGTATGTGAAAAAGTAGAAAATATCGAGCAGACATCTGTCATACAGCTAAACGATGAAGTTAATTTAGTTAACGATGAGGATGATTTTGTTATTGTTGATATGCTTAACGATATCTATGAAAATATCGATCAGGCGGTAAAAAATGCATCCGCAGAAGTAGACAGACAGGAAAACCAGACGTTACATTTAATTGATTATTCGATACCACCTATAAAGGAAACAAATAAAAACGCTCAACAAAATCCTACAAATATATGTAATATAACTGACAAAGAAGAAACAGAAATAATCGGAGAAATTTGCAACTTAGATGTTTCAAACCAATCTGTACCCACTGAAAATAAAGCACCGTCAGATACAGAGCCTGACTTTGAAATAATTACTACTCCAATTTCTGATATTCAGGACCTTGAAATTATTGAGCCTCTACCTATCTCGGCGGATGATCACTTAATTATTCACACAATCCAATCGACTGATGCCCATCAGCCTCATTTCACTGATACGCCCGGTCTCTTTGATACGGTGAAAGAAAGTACGGATTTAAATATAATCAATATTGACAAAAACAATTACGAAATCGTTACAAAAGACATAAAAGTTGACAATCGGGTTGAAAAATCACCCATACATAGCTTGCATGAACTTTTGCCAGAGATAGATTCTATTCCGGAGTTTAAACCTACATATCCTAAAACATTCTTTTCTAACTTATCCGCTGACGCGCCAGAGTTTACCCCATCTTATATGTTCCAAAGTACCCCTACTGACACTGTTCCTAATGCTTTGGAAAACCCAGATTCTGACACTGAAGTGAAGCGCAAAGAATTGGATTCAAAATCGTACTCTGCTGCTGCTGCTGCTGCTTTAATCACAATGGAAAGCAAAAACAAGGAAGACACAGTCCTACATCACAAACTAGAAGATATAGGGAGGGTTTCACCAACCATAAATGCAGAAAAAAATCCTGATAGTGATCTGTTTAAAAATTTAGAAATTAAAAACACGTCTATTATACCTCAAGCCAATACAGATACGGCAAATGTATGGGTTAAAATGTTAGATGACAGTAAATCTTATGCAGAAATTGTGGCGGAAGGACTTGCAATAAATGAACAAAAGGCAGAATGCCAAGAAACTTCAAACTTTGAAGAATCCCCTTCCACAAGTTTTGTAGGAGAAAAAACGTTACAAGATATAACAACCGAAAATACAAAAGTAGAGGTTGGTAGCTCATGGGCTAAGATAGCAGCTACAAAATCGCCGTTAATTGTTAATAAAAATACATTTGAACAAACAATGCCTGTTCCAGCTACTATCCATAATAAAACACCAGTTATTTTAGTTGATGAATCTGATGTAGATCATTATAAAATACCAAAGGAAATAGATGCTGATGGATTTATCACTGTTGAAAGAAGTAGACATTCTCGATCAAGATCTAGGGAAGTTCAATCGACCTCTGCTATAAATAGAGGTATTTCGCACCGGGATAAATCAGAAAACAGATTTGATGCTCTTTTAGATACGCTGAAATCTGAAGAAGTGGAACAATTCCAAAAAGCTAATTCTGAAGACGAACAAGAAAATAAACCAAAGCCAAGAAAAAGTCGGTCCCCCAAATCAAGAGACAAGTCGGAAATATTAAAATATGAAGAAAAATTACAGTCAACAAAGCTAAAAGAAGTCCTGCCTCAACAAGTGGAACATATTAAATATGAATCAGATGATACAGAAAATAAGAAAAAGTCTAAGAAGAAGAAGAAAAACAAAAAATCGAACATCAAAATAACAGATTCATCCCAAGATGCAAAGGCTACTGAAGAAATCTTCCCTGAAACATTAAGCGAAAAGAAACAGATTAACAAAAGTGATCTATTAGAAACAAATATATCTACACCGGATTCTATACATACCCCTGTAAAAGATCGTGTATATTCCGATGCTCAGTATTGGAAAGTCGATGCAAGTGACTTAACTGAGTTAAGCAGTCTATCTGAAACTATAACAATAGAGTTAAGTCCAGGACAAGAATTACAATTTGAAACAAGACCATCAGTCCAATCCGAATCATGCTTAATTGAATCAAATGAAGAAGTAAACACACCCGATCCACTTGACTCTTTGAATTCAGACAATAACACAATACACACTAACCTATCGGAAGAGCAATCTCTTGAAAGCAAAATGGCAGATCTGCAAAGGGAAATTGAGGAGATGCTTTTGCCAGAAAATGATAATTCAATGACCAGTGATGTCACGCCAAAAGATTTAGCAGACACGAATGAATCTCTTGATGAACAAGACGAAATTACTGAGAATATGTCTCCTTCTCTGGCATCACCAGAACCTGATGATTATCAACAAATTCCAGCTGACGAAGATATAATGCAAGAGTCTAAAATTGCTTTTAAAGAAGCGCTTCCAACTACTGTTACTACTACCGCATTGGAAACAAATAAGCAGAATGAAGACATATTTAAGAAGCAAGAAGTGGCACTTAAAATAGAGGAAGTAGCAGAACATGAATCCATTGTTAATTTAGAACACGATAAAAACAGTACAAAATCCTTATCTACTAATAGTGACTCTATTACTAACAATAAACTACAAAATAACTTGAAAACGGATAATTTCTGGGTAGAAAAATCATTTATTGATGATGCGGAAAAACTCATGCTAACTTCACCTGTCAATAAGCCGGAAACTAATCTAGTTAAAATAGATACCAAACCGGAAATTGTTAAAGTAGAAGAAAATCTTATCAACGACAGTTCATTTTGGCCTGAAAAGTATTTATACCACGACGCCGAGTGTCACTATTTCCTACAGAGGGAAATAAAAACCAAAGTCAACGATACTAATATCCATATTGAGGCTAACGACGAGAATGATAAAGATCGCGATCCCGGTAGTGGTTCCGGTCATTCTTCTGATTTGGATGAGAAGGATCCGCATGGATCGTGCGGGTCTCCTTCCGATTCCAACTACATATCCATGGACTTGCCCGGTGGAATTTGTAGTTGGAAAGATCAAACGTCATATCTCAGCATTGAAACGCCCACGGATTCCTTATTGGAGTCTGTGAGTGAAATATCTCGCGTAGGTTTCGATATGTCAGAGGATTCACTAACAACCCCTACCCTAGAACCAGTCGCCCTACCTGACCCCCTACAGGAGCCGTCGGCCGCAGTGGGAGCCCGGACTACCAAGGTGACTGATCTGCAGTCGTATTGTACAATTTTTAATTTCATTTTTTATGTTTGGCATGATATTACTACAAAAATATTAATTTCACGATTAGTAAAAAATTTGTACAATTTGTCACCTGCCGATCGTCTTGTTGAGCCAAGTATTGGCAACTCATTGTAAGCTTATCTAGTCTGCGCATTTAAGTAACAATTAATGTGTGAAATACGAATTCTAGTCATGTCTAGTCAACTATTTTTGTCGAATTAATAAATAAAATGAGTGTGCTTTACATTGTTTTATTGTATTAGTTCAAAAACCCCTGTTTTTGTTCAAAATGAATTGCCAAATCAATTGGTTTTACAAGACGAGAGCAGCTGCTTTGTTTATAGATGCTTTAGTTTGGGCTTAAAATTCTTACTGATAGCAAAGTTATTTTGTTGAGACGTATTATATTGCCCTGTTGGATGACTGATGGTACAACACAGCCACAGCATTAAACTTAAATGGCTTGTTAAACATGAACTACGAATTATAAAGGTACAAATATTGTATAGTTGAGTTTTCCTAATATGTAGTAATATTTTGTTTGATTGGATGAATCCTTAGATAACATGTGCAATATCGTTATGAAATATGTTTAAAATCTGCACTGCAGGCTAACCTACAAATAATTGGCATTTTTTCAATTACCATGCTTTTGTATCAAGAGTTTTCAACGGTACTGCGCACGTTAATTTTAAGCCTAAATGTTATAGAATGATCCCGCGTGAAGCATGTCATGCCAATAATAAAATTGATGTTGTTTTCGATGTTGTTTGTAAACTAAAATTTATTGCAATTTTAATATTCCAGTTACAATAAAATTGTAGTAGCAGGAATATTTTTGTGGCATATGTTTTTTGTTATTTTGTTTTACCTTGTTGACGTGGATTATTCACAGCCAGCTACCGATTAGTTTAGCATGCGTTCCCCTCGCACATCGAGAAATTGTTCCCTACACTATATTTTGGCATCGGTTTTGGCATGCGCTAATCCAACGTCACTGGTTTTGCATTCATTACTAATGTAGAGTTGTGTTCTCAGGATGAGTTATCTTACGATATTGAAACATTGCTCGAAGAGGTGAAGATAGTTCAGGCTAATTTATCAGATCTACCAAATGAAAGTCTCGAGGCGATGGAACATGGGCTCGTGGTAAGTTTCATTCCCATAGAAATGACGTAACTAATTTAAATAGAACAGACATTCGTTCGCGCTCACGTGCTATTTCAGTCATACCAAATGTTGCTTTCAATTCTGTATTAACTAGACTCATGATGTCATTATAAAACTATTTCAGCGTTTCAAATGATTTGTCGGGAGTAGGTCATTTATTTGGGCTAATGTTTTGATGAAATGAAACGTAAATATAAAATTTTAAATACAGTGGTACCTCTATATGCGAGTGCCGTAATATACAAGTGTTTTGAGATACGACCAGTCGAGCAAGCTATATTTTGCATTGAGATGAGAGCAAGATTTGCGATACGAGGAATTGCACACCTCAGACTAGGTCTCAGTCTGTTTGCTTGTTTCCCTTGTTTTCGAAGCATTTTTGATAAGTTGGGTTCGCTCCTTTTGGTTTTTGTAAATGTATAATAAATTGATGTGTATTGAATTAAAGCATGAATCATTTTCTTATTCAAAAACTACTGAGTTGGTGTTTTGGGAGTTAGGAATTATGTTTCTTATAGTGTTAGTATGAATAATGAACACCGCAGTATTTCAGTAGACCCAGCGTACCCAATTTTCTTCTATTAACGACAAAATATGCATAAATCATATTTTATGTATTAAAAGCATAATTTTGGCATCCGCACCGTTCATAATCTTTACTACCGAGTGTATAGAATCGCTTTAAAAGCCGTTTGTACCGGCAATTCGTAATGTGCTTAGAGCCACAAGCACAGACTGCTTACCGGCCAATTTTTATGCAGTTTTGTGATCAAAGAGATTTAATTTAGACTGAAGTCTAAAAATTATCACGAGAGAATAATTCTATACTTATACTTGTACGAGTATTACACACACATACACGGCTGCCGTAAATTTTATTCTATTTACTTAAATCTCTTTGGTTTACGTTTATCTGTTAAATTCAAAGCATCAAGCCATGTTTAAATCACAATCGTGGAGCCTCAATGTAAACAAAACTAGAATCCGTGAATTACGTCAGATACAAAATTTGTTATTCGTCATTGACAGTATTATACTGTAAATCACTTCCGATGTTGTAAAAATGTATCCTTTTAGCATAATTTCAAGCATAATTTTACATAATAATTGTGGTTTGAGTGTGATAAGCACCTTTTTCTATCGTTTGTCGTGTTAGCTATTTATTTATTTTTCTTACTTGGTCAATAATTTTGGGTCCTGTTTGTCCACTCGCAGGCGCAGACTTTTTTGTCTGTTTTAGTTTTTGCTTTTTATAGGTGATCAATTTGCCTGTACCGGACTCAAGTAGTGTATGTATTTATTCAACATATGAATGCGTGGTAATTGCGCATACAGTTTACTGGGATTTAAAAATAAAAATAATAAAAACTTCATTCATGAAGAATTGGTTGTGACAAAATTCATCTATCGCTTGTCCCCATACTAGGATACGCGGTACACGGTACATGTTTCAAAGAGATTTTGAGAAAAAGTGGTTTTAATGTTACAAATAATCGCTCACAAGTCTTATAAGACAGTGTCATGCGATGATACGTAAGGCCTTTGTAGATTCGAAATACAATTAATTCGGCTAGCGGGAATTTTTATGCCATTTATGAGTTTGATCTGGATAGTTTGACTATCTCTGAATCCATAAGAAAATTGAGAAATTTTATTATAAAGTAAAGGGAAAAAGCATTTAAAATTTAAAATAAGCAAATAATGTAATAAAATTCTCATGTCACAATGTTTGTTCCCATACTCCTCCGAAACGGCTCGATTGATTCTTATGAATGTTTTTATGCATATTCAGTAAGTCTGAGAATCGGCTACTATCTATCTTTCAAACCCTTAAATGTTAAGGGTGGTTAAATTTTTATTTTTTATATAAAAATTTTGTTTTTATTTTTTTATGATACAGCATACAAAAATACATACAACATTTAATTTTCACCCCTCTACGATCAATCCCTATTTTTTATTGATCCCATATAAAAGGGGAAGAAGAGGCGTACAGATTGTTTAGTGTATAGATTTAACCTTCGCTATGATCTTCATTAATGAATCATCATTATGTTGACAATAATTATCGCCTTGTGTCAATTGATGCAGATTAGTTATGTGGCAGGCTGCATTTTCCCGAGATAGGTGATGTCATAAACGTACATAACAATTACGACACCGTGTTAATAATATTCGAGTGGTTGGCACAATACTGTAGGGCATTTGTTCGCGAAACGCGCTAGGCGCGATACAGATTCGAAAACGATAATTTATACGACAAATTCAATCGAATTTTCATCGATACGAAAGTGATGTTACATTTGGCTGAGTGGTTAAATAAGGTGAAAGATATCTCGTGTTATTTTGTGATTTTTTTTATCTGAATGAACGTAACATGTATTGTGGACTTTTTTTCTTATAGTATATTGAACTCGATTTATTAAAGAGTGTTTTTAATAATGTTTACAGGAGGGCATATCAATTCTAGTCAAGTGTGGAGAAGCAGCCGATATGTTAGAGCAAAACGTTATGGAATACCGTCAAGAGCCCGAAGCACAGAACCTGATGAAGGATCTCGTTGCCATGAAATCTAGGATTGCTAAGTTGTTGATTCAGGCCCGCCAAGGATTGGCCACCATCCAGGTAAGAAAGGTAATTTTCTGAATAATTTGCTTTTGTTTATTTATTTGCGTAAAATATATATATTTTTTTTATTTTCCATGTGAAAAATGTTAAATGTTAATTATAAGCCTAAAGGTTTGGTTTAGGCAGTCTTCATATATCAATGGTTTACTTATGTTTCCAGGAAGCGAAAAAAGAAATTGAAAGACAAACACAGTACATTGAAGAAAACAAATCAAAAATTTGTAAATTAGATCATTGGCTCGAAACGATTAATACTGAGCTTAAAGAATCTACACAACAAGGAGATGTCCTTACTGAAGATAATATTTTAAGATATATTGAAATATATGAACGTTACATAAGAGAATATGAAGAATATGAAATTATATTGAAGTCCATTTCGATTTCAACATCTGAGGATTCTAGTAAAATTAGGGAAAAGGTTATTTTAACTAAAAAAACATTAGAAGAAACCAAACATCTAGTCATTAATGAGATAGAAAGGCTAAGAGAAATATTGATACAAATAAGAAGCGCACCAGAGGTGATTGAGGAGGATATATCTCAAACGGATAGAACAATTGATTCGACATCGATGCCTGAAGAAATTGTTTCACCTCGTGATACTAATGTGATCAAAACGGAAAGGCAACGTTATCTAGAGGAACCTTTTATGCATGAAAGTAATATCACACAAGTTTCAACAGAAGTAAAGGAACCATTCGAAACTAAAGTAAAAATAACAACTGAAACGATAGAAACTCAAACTGGAAAGAGTTTAATGTCCGACGAACCTTCTGTCACTGACAAGTCTGTATTATGTCAACCTGATCCAATATCTACTCATGATGTGTCCATAACCTGTGCACCACCGAAAGAAATTGAAGTGCAGACAAGTGAACCCTCCTCGAAAGAAAAAGAAATGTTAGAAAATATAGAAATTAAGAAGACCATCTCAGATGGCCATGAAACAATTGAAATTCAAAGTAAACCTATTATGCGTGACTTCAAGAGCGATGAAAGATCTCTTGTCGTAGGTGCCGACTACAATGATTCTGATGTCGATAAAAATTCTACACTCAATATAACACACAGCTTGCCACAATCATTTGAAACTATCATGGTGGAACCTGACGAAACTACGACAGAAGTTGTCGTAGACGCAGACGGCACTAAACGAATAATTGTAAGGAAGGTACGAAAAACACTTGTTACTAGACAGCAAGTAGTACACTCTCAACAGCAGAAACAACAGTTGTTCTTAGATGAGGATATACCACGTGATCAAACCTTCAGTCAAATAACTATCGCAGGTGATGCAGGTTCCACTTCTAGTATCTTAGAAGGTGGAGTTACTCAAAATATACAATATAAAACATATAGTGGTGAAATTCTTTCTAGTATTCCTAGTGGAGAAGTTACTATCCAAGAATTTACTTCTAAACCTGATATAGTAATTGCTTTAGAGAAAGGTATGGGACCAGAAGAAATCCTTCAAATTGCGGAAGGTGAAATAAAGCCACATATAGAAACGTCGTCCTCAAGTGTAACTGCTATTGTTCAACAAGTTACCAAGAGGATAGTTAAAACAAGGAGACGTATAATTAGAAAGGTAGTTATAATTGATGGCAAAGAACATATTTCTGAAGAAGTCATAGAAGAACCTGAAAATGTAGAAATTTCAGAAGAACAGATTCCAAGAATATCAATAAATGTGAGAGACTTTGGTTCAGATAGGCAATTTACGGAAACGGACAATAACGGGGATGACGATAGTAAAAAACCGGTCCAGAGGGATAATATTAACAAAGATTTTCCTAAAAAAAATTGGCCTAAAACGCCTGAAACAACAGACAAGTCTGATGGTACAGAACAAGATAAAAATTCTCAAAAAGAAGATAAAGAGTTAAAGAGCGTTGTAGAAGAGTTTATAAAAAATGAGGGCAAAGTAGACCATAAAGATTTACCTGGTTTTATTGACGTGGATTCTAAATTAGGTAACGCTGAAATTGAGACTACCATTAAAAATGAATCGGAGGAGCTTGACCCTCAAGAATACATAGGACTTAAAGATTCCACAATAGAATCATCGACGACGAATGTTTCTTCCGTCATTCAAAGGGTTACAAGAAAAATAACAAGAACGAAAAAACGTATTATAAAGCATATAAAAATAATCGATGGTCAGGAGCATGTAACCGAAGAAGTTATAGAAGAACCAGAAGATATTGAAGTAATAGAAGAAGAACCAAAAATAAGCCATACGTTGCAAGAGCAAAACACTCGAACAAAACGCATAAGAATAATAAAACAAGTACAAATAATTGATGGCAAAGAACATACCACTGAACAAGTTATAGAAGATTCGGGTGATGAATATGAACCACCTGAAATTGACGATCGTATTCACCCATCAGAAACAGATCATTACGTTGTAACTCTACCTCCTGAAGAAATCTGTAATCAAAATAAAGCTACAAGCAATAACCTAATATCTGATATTTGTGGAACTACAGAAGAAGTAGTTGAGCCTGATGAAGAAAAAGCATTTGAAGCACTACTTCAAAAATCTAATATTTTAGAAGAACTGCCTGTACATTCACTTAAATGTGATATCAAAGACAAAACTGATCACACAGTCCAAGACTGTCAAAACCAACAGATTCAACTGAAATCAGAAACGGCAAAAACTACCGTGGAATTGACTAAATCGTTAATTGACAGCGAGATTAGTGATTCAAATAGGAGTAACACACTGGAAGAGGCTTTGAAATTTTCAAGTGAGAAAGATAATGTATATAACAATCCTAGTCAAATTACTACAGAAAATATAATTAGGAAAGAATTCCTAGGTGACAAGAAAGACGAAATCCACGATAATCCACAAGACGAATCTTTAGACAAGCCCGACTTGGATACAGATAAATCCCAAGCGAATAAGAAACAAGTTATTTCTGAGGAAACAATTCTTCGAAGCATGGAGGTAGGAAAGGATGTGCAATTACCTTCAGAAAGTGATTCAAATGAAGGGTACGTTACGCAGGATCCCATTGTCGACATAACCAACCTAGGTGACAATGCTAGTATTGTGAGTCAAAAATCAGTTAACTATGGTGTACCATCTGATAATACACAAGCACTAATTGGTATTTCCCGTACAATAGTTATAAAGCGTATCCAAATAATTGATGGCAAGGAACATGTTACCGAAGAAGTTGTCAAAGAACCAGAAACGAAACAACTAGAAACAATGGAAGATAATCAATCCTTTACTCAAATTTTACAGCAGCAAGGGTTAGAAACTAATCGAATAAAGATAATACGTCAAATTAGAGTTATTGACGGTAAAGATCACATTACTGAACAAGTTTTCGATGAACCTGGCGGTACATTTATTCCAGACTCAACAATTACTGCTGAAATTGGTATTTCTTTAACGAAACCAAACTCGCAAACAGTTAGTTATAAAACGCCATATACAGGCGATTTTGTAGATAAAGCAATAAAAGATGCGCCGAGTTCGCTGAATGTTATTGATGAATCTAATAAATTCCTAGCTTATGAAAAATTACATTCCGACAAAGAAATAACCACAAATATTGATAACCTTAAAATAGAAGATTCTGTTACAAGCAATGCACCCGAAAACGCGGAGGATAAGAAAGATGAACCATCTCAGGATATTGAGTCAAGTTTTAAAAATAAAGAGATAGAGTTACCCCGACCCGTTGAAATAGAAAAACACCGTGCTGTTGAAAAAGTAAGCTTTTCAAAAGAAAATATAACACCGAGCCAAATCCAAACTGAAAGCAAGGAAGATTTTGTTGTAGAAACCGCTGTTGAAAATAACTGTATCAAAAATGCTTCAATTCGACAAATGTCTGAAGTTCCTAACTTAGAATCTGAGAAAAATGCTGCAGGGCCTTCAGATCAGAGCATAACTGAAGACAGAGTACAAAAGATTGATCTGGATTCTGAAATAGAACCTTGCATTGATTCTACAAAAGATGCAACACCTAATATGGAAGCAATAATATCAGATAAGAATATGGAAGGTTTTCCTGAAGTTTCTAACGTGACCAATAAATATAAATTAGAATCACAAACACACATCAAAGATAAAGATCCAACTGTGCTTGAACAGAAACTTTTCATCGATTCCAGATCCATCTGTGATCATCCTGTGAGTACATCTCCAAGTGTGATACACGATGTTAATACTTTTATAGACGCAGAACGTCAGAGCTTTAGCCAATGTTTGAACCTGGGAGGAGGTAACGACTTTATTGAAAAACTTACACAAACAGAAGACATACAGGATGTACCAAATAAGCCTTATGAAAAAGTAGACATCACAATGAAAATAATCAAGTCAGACGAGCAATCAGACTTAAAACCACAACTTGGATTAGACATGTCTGTTGAGAAATTTGATTCTACTCCGCAACTAGTAAAAAAAGATATTGAGATTAATCTTCCAGTTGATGTAAAAATTACCGAAGACGTAAAAGACAAATCCAACGACTCAGAACTAATTTCTGAAACAACACACGTTGAGTTTCTTAAACCAGATAAAACGAGAAAAAGAAAGCACAAACATAAGAAGAATAGTGAAAGCGATTCCGTAAGTACTGAATCGCCAATCAAAACACCTGAGAAAAGTTTGGACGAAACTGATAGTTCCTCTTTAAGTCATTACGTGGAATTACCAGCTTCGACGCCTATAGAATCGCCAAAACCAACAAGATCCGTACTCGAACAGCCCACTCTTTCAGACTCTTTCATTGATAGTGAAAATGTGAAATCAATTGATGAACATGATTATGAGCCTGACGGTGAATCGGCAGAACCAGCTTTATCCGAAAAGAAAAAGAAACTTAGGAAACGTAAGTCCCACAAAAGTAGTGAAGAAACTTTGTATCCTATAGAAACACCACCAGATGAGACGTCAATATTGTCTTCACGTGAAGATAAAGTAAAAGATATTGTCGAGAAAACCGAAGTAAAATCCCCAGACGTTTCAGAAGAATCTGAGAAGATACCACATTCCTTTTCCGCTCAAGAAATAACCACTACATCGCCTAAAGAAGAGTCGTATCACACAATGAGTGAAACATCTGACATAAGTACTGTAAAAATAATTGAAGAATGCATTGCAAAGAGTCCAGATTCAATCAAGGACGAGATAACAACTACAGTTACCTACCCTGTATCAGTCGTAGAGGAAATTCCTACTCAAGATTACTCCATCCAAACATCACCAGAATTAAGCGAACAAAAATCTGAACCAGATGTGGTTTGCCAACCGGAAACTGTTGACTCTATACTTCAAACCTCGCCCACCCATCTTACAGATGTGGTTATTCAGACTATGCCCAAAGATGACAAAGAAGTTCATACTCAAACTAATGATAATGTAGAATGTATTGAAAAAGTAGAGGCACTTGATAGGTCTGTTCAAACAAGTAGAACAGAAAGCCCCGAACAAAGTGTTCTATTAGAAGCTACGACCCAGGTATTTGCCAGCGACATATCACTGCCCGATCACAAATCGTCTCAAACAACACCCTCAATCGAGAAAGTACACGTACCAGAAATGGTTTCAGACTCGAAAGAAATACAAACTTCACCCATCCTTAAAATTGAGTACGATGAGAAGGCTACAGAAATATCAATTGAGACGAAGGATTCAACAATACAAACTGTGTTGCAAGAAAATGTCGACCAAGAAACAAACACAACACCTGAAGAAGCGTTACATCTTTCAGATATGAGTATTCAAACTACATCTATTCCTATGACGAGTTCATTTACACAATCCGATCAAGAAGTTTCAAAGGACATGGAAGTTCCCACTGTATGTTTAGAAGAAAAATCTACATCATATGATAAAGTCGACATTACGGAGTCGTCGCAACAAACATCACCAAGGATTATTTATGATGAAAATAATTTAGAAACTACAAAGGTTGCAATAACTACTGTAGACTCGATTCAACAAACCTCGCCACGCGAAGAACAATTAAATAATGATGACGTGAAAAATGTATGTCTAAAAATTTTAACTGCCGAATCAGAACAACAAACAACTCCAAGACAAGACGCTGAAAAGTGTCCTGAAAAAGAAATCGATAAATCTATAATAACCGTAGATAGTATACAACAAACATCACCTAGAAGCTACATAGATGATTCTATTTCAACATCCACTGATGAGCCGTACGAAGTGCATTTAAGAGCACAAATCTCAATACCTCAAGCAACTAACGATTTCTTAGACAGTGAACGTCAAACGGTAGATTATCCACATACTATTTTGGGCGATAAGCATAAACAGAAAAAAAGAAAGTCAAAAAGAAAAACAGAATCACCTCTAAAGTCTCCTGAAAGTTTATCGGACCCGATTAATGCAGAGTTATCGTTGTCGGTGACACCTACGAGCGATGAATTTTCTAGCAAAGACAGTTATTCCATAGATGAAGGTATTTACCAATATCCTACTACTGATTTGCCTACAAACAAGGAAACGGTAGTGACACACAGTAGGCCTACTTATTCCGATATTGTGCAAAGATCTAAATCAAAATCGCCGTCTCCTAGCAAAACTTTAGTAACACCTAAATCTGAAAAAGCTGTATTACTAAATTGTCTTGAAAAACGTACTCAGACTACCTATGACCCCCAAAGACTGTCGGATAATTGTATGGCAGTGGCTTTAATAGAACCCTCTGTAGAAAAATCATATGATTTTGTTGTAAGCACTAAGTTAAAGGAAGTTAAAAATGCAATTGAAGACAAAGATCCTAAGAAAGTAGAGAAAACTGTCATAGTTGTAATTGAGACCATATCTATTTGGCTGGAAGAAATTCAATACAAAATACATGCTGCTATTTCAACGGGTAAAAAGGTACCTGAAGAAACTCAACGGATTAAGGATTTGGAACAATATGTACAACATCTTAAGGAGATCGTGTATGTCACTGAAGTCCACGAAGAAATTGTTACCTTAATTGAAACTTTGACCCGTCAAATGAACGCTGTTAGTCGGCTTAGTAACGAAAGCGTTTCAAAAGTAAAAGATAGTGAACAGGAATGGCGAATATTCTTTGATGAAATCGATAATTTAGCCCATTCTGTCGACAAAATGAAAACCAGATTAGAAGATCTGATAACTTTGGAAGCTCCATCGTCACAAAAACTCGAAGGACTCGATAAAATTGAAAATGACAATAGTGACAACTCTGGTCATGTGAAAAGATTGTTTAAAGTTTATCGAAGTATAGTTGAAAATAATTCAAAAAGGGAGTGTCCGTCTAAACTATATTTATGTGACGAAGACACAAAACAAATCGAAAATGCTATACACGTAGAACGCGATCGCCTTTTACAATTAACATCATTAGCTGAAGAATACGAACAAACTCTTCAAGATTTTGGACAAATAACTGACGTTGCCGAGGCATTACTTGACGGTAAAATTATCGTTTCAAACTTGGACCACCTTCACGAGGAAATACAGAAACATAGGAAATTCTTTGTTAATCTAAGCCACTGTCGGGCAATACTAGAATCTTTAGAGGATAACTTAGATAACGAGACCAGATCTAAGTATGCTTCATTGCACCATTCTCTTCACGATAGAGCAACTGCTATTATAGACCGAGCTGCAGGCCGAGCTCAGCAAATGACTTTGGCGGCTTCGAGATGGAGTATGTTAGACCAAGGCATGAAGGAAGAACTGCAATGGCTTCGGGTAGCCGAACAACGCATTCCAGACCTTACTAATGTTACATCTATGGACCACGAGCAATACATTAATCTCTACCAATCCCTTAGCCTCGATGTTTCCCATCATTATGCGAAAATTTTACGGCTATTATCTGTAACGGAGGGTCTACAAAATCTCATCGTTTGTCCGGGACTAGAGTCTACGTGTTCTATGGCTCTTGAAACGTTATTGAAACATCAAGAAAACATCGACGTTTCTTTAGTGAGACTCACAGATTTCAAAGAAAATTGGTTTACATATGACCACTTTATAAACAGAATAGAAAGCTGGATTAAACTAGCTAATAGGGAAATGGAACATATAACTCCAGAAAACATAACGACCACCGGCAACCTACGACGATTCTGGGAGTTAAAAGCTCAGCACGAAGTGCACAATAATTTGAAGACTGAATGCGGAATTCAATTCGAAAAGGCATTAGAAATCCTACCAATATCAGATGAAATGGTTCAGCGTCAATTTTTCTTGAAGATCGAAGATAAATGGCGAGATTTATCAGCTAGAATTGGCAATCTGCACGCTTCCGCTGTTCAAAACATATCCGACCGAGGTGTGTCTTCAGGTGAGAAATTGAATTTACTCGAAGACGAGCTGAGAGAATTACGAGGTTCACTTGAAGGTCTCAAAGGGGTAATTAAAAGCGAAGACGAACTAAACCTATACATCGAGAGGCTGCAGGTTATGACCAGCCGCATCGATCGGATACAAAACGAACTTGGAAGATTAAGTTTACTTCCGACCGCTGAATCAGATCGCCTGGGCGCCCTCTTAACACAGTCTGGCATATTAGACGACCAAATCGCCGAAGAACTCGAAAGAAGTATGTTGCTGAAAGAGAAGATTGTTCAAGTGCAGGCTGGTATTGCGCGGGTGCAAAAGGGTCAACGTCGTGCGCGCCTGACTCTGGAAGAATGTGGAACGGCTGAACGCTTGGGTAGTGATGTCGTTGAGAGAGCTTCACAAAATTGTGAACGGCTCTTAGAAGACTTGGCGGCTCAATGGAAGGAAATTCTGGCGTTGAGACAGGCTCTGCATACATTACCCATCAGTCTACGTATTTGCGTGTCGCCCACCAGCATCGAGAGAGACATTTCTGCTTTACAGGTGTGTATTCTGTCTGTCTATGTATAGAATCAGATTTAAATTTAAAAAATAATGGATATCCATTCTTATGTTAATATTTTTAACTTATATTATTAGGATCTTTAATGCAAGTAGCAATCAGATGTATTATTGAGAATATTACCGATTAAATAAAACTCGATCGAGAATCGAGATATTTATTTTTATAGGAGTTTTCAATTTCTTTTTCAGGAGACCCATGCAGAGTTAGAAGCAGCGTGCAACGATCTCTGCGTCCGTCTAAGAAGCAAGCTCCAACTTTGGAGGCGATTCGAAAGACAGCTGGAATCTGTCCAAGGTGCTGTAAGAGAAGCCGACTATATGGTTGAGCTGCTGACTGTACAAGGGCAAGTGGATTATGATCGTCTGCTTAAAGCCACCGAGAGATTGGAGGTAAGGAATTTTACTAACCAATACGGAATACATGAGAAAATTATGCTAACTTTTCTTGATTGAATTAATTTAAAGGAATTGACTGGTTAAATTAAAATACCAACCAATTTGTCACCTCTAAACCTAAATAAATTCTCCTCAAGGGGAAGATATTGTAAACTGCTAGTCTTTTTGCCACCAAGTCGTCGTGATACAGAATACATTATTATTATATTTGCTTTAACAAGAAAAGAACATTTAAATAGTCGTTGCTCAGGATGTGAAATAATATTTAATTTTTCACGTTTAATCAAATAACGTTTTTCATTCAATGGTATTGAGTGTATATTACGACTTCATTGTAGAAGTAAATGTAAAAGAACTTATTTAACTTAAGAATATCCTAATATTTATAAAAATTTAATCAGTCATAACAAGAGCAATCTCTCTTTATCTCTATCTAAAAACCTTGACTGAAAATATGATAAATGTATTTTAAAATCGTTTAATTTCCCCAAACAGACGCTAAGCGACTCCCTCTCGCGTCGTAGTGGGGAATTGGTGGGTGAATTACGCGAAACAGCCGCCCCATTGGAGGCCAGTACAGAGCCAAGTGTCGCGGCCAAGTTGCGCCGACAATTGGACGACGCAGCCACCGCCTATGAGCACACTTGCGCTAATCTTACACAGTTGTGTGACAAGTAAGTGTTCCATAAAAATATAATGCAATCAATACTAAGTTATATGTCATGTTATTGATGTTTATATTTAACTCTCGAAATATGAAACGATTTTTCGTTGCTAAACTGTTTTATTCAAACCAACCAAAACAAAAAAAACGTATGTGTACTTATGTACACGCGTTCGAAGTTATACTTCTTTGGCGTAATAATTTTCTTCGAGCACTTTAGAGGGACGATGCCCTCTTGGAATTGCATTTTTGGACATGCCATTTTAATGGCTTCCAATCGAAACTATATAATATATACTAATCATGATAACTTACAATAAACACTACGTTTTTATCACATTGGAACGTATTTTCTCGTATAGAAATCATTATTTTGGTTTAAATAAACACAACTCTGAAAAACACTACGCTATGACAGACAATGCAACTTGTCGATAAAACAGAGCAAGCGCCAACTAGCGGCCCAGACTGTTTTACCGACGTTTGAACAGCTGATATTCAGGGTGTCAGTTTTTTTGACGGTGTGCGCGCGCATCGTAAAAATTTACTCTCATTATTTTTCCCTAACGCGCCAAAGGAAGTATAACTTCAAAAACACAGTTCTATTGTAAAAAGTAGTGAGATCCATGTAATAACAAGTCGTTTATTTTATTTAGTTCCTCCTTAGGGGACTGTCTATCTTCTGTTCTTTCTTCTTTAATTTATTACGTAATTAGTTAAACTAAAAAGATCTCATAGTGACAATATCAATCTTAAAAATCTTTTATGTTTTAAATAAAAATACTTCCTAATAAAGCTTAATTTTAATACAAAAAATCATTCTACGTTATTCTTGTTCTAGATATCACAAGGCAGTGGATCTCTGGAGCAGATATAAAGAAGCAGCGGCTGCCGTGAGAGCTTTCGCCGAGTCCCAGGAAGGCAGGCTCCACGCCCTCAGACCTGATGATGCTCCGGCTACCGCTAATGTGAGTACTTCCATACAGGTTATAATGAGCAGTGATGGCCTAGTGGCTTCAGCGTGACTCTCATCCCTGAGTTCGTAGGTTCGATACCTGGCTGTGAACCAGGACTTAGACAATAGACCCATAGACTTTATTTCTATGTGCGCATTTAACATTCGCTCGAACGGTAGAGGAAAAAAACGTGAGGAAACAGGCTAGGCCCAAAAAGTCGACAGCGTGTGTCAGGCACAGGAGGCTGATAACCTGCCTATAAGGCAAATGATCATAAAACAGATACAGATATCTGAAGCCCAGATCTAAAAAGGTTGTAAAGGCTGATTGATTTATTTTATTTTTAGTTTGATTATAAACCAAATCTTCTAAATTAACTATTAAGGGCGTGTTATGAATCTGATAACGATAAGTCAAAGCACGACATGGATATTCACTTGTTAACCGCAAATAAGTTGCTTTGTTAACTTTCACTCTTGAACAGTATTCAAAAACGAATAATATATCTGATGTAAAGTAAACTAGAGGTTTTTGAGAGACCTTGTTTACTATGAACTGTCTATTAAATAGATTGATAGTAGCTTCAGACCAGTGGCGTAACTATACCAACTGGGGCCCGTGGCAAATTCTTTTGGGACCCTATCAATAAAAATCGTCACGTTGTACTCAGTTTAATTTCAATAAACTTCGAGATTTTCAGCCTACTCAATTACACGTTGTATATGCCCCACTAATGGTCTCCTCTCTTAGGTGAGAGGGAATGGTATTGGAGACTTCACATTCATGCATTGAACATAATATCTCTTGGGCAGGGGCCTTATCGGGTCGGAGGCCCGTGGCAGTTTGCCAGCCCTGCCACCCTATTGTAACGCCACTGCTTCAGACGTTTCTTCCTATAAACAAAATTAAAAATTTAACCTCTATAGCGAAATAATAACACTATAATATATATTTGAAACTACATAATATCCTACGCAATGCAAATGGCTAATTTAAATGCACAAAAACGTTTTGACTTACCAAATACAACCGATATCATGCGCCGCTATGTGATGATATAAGCAGCCGCTGATGTCATCACATTTATACTGTCTGATATTATTTCAAAATTTTACATGTTATTTTATTAATCTTCACTACTGATTTGAGCTTTATTTATTTATTATTTATTTTATAAAGGCACACATACAGATACCGGCAAACATCTTGAACAAATGTCCTTGCCTGCGCGAGAAGCGATTTTTTTAGGCTCTCTCCCTTCGTGACGCTAACATTATTATTGCGTTTCATCCGTAAAAAAAATTTACCCTCATGCCCCTAAAGATGTTTCACTTCAAATATCAACTGTGTGACCAACCCCAATAGCGCACAGGAATGCGATGAAATATCCACCCTTTATTACATTGCGACAGTCAAAGCAGTTACATACCTTTTAATAATTTGGGCTGGACTATAGCCTTCTTAATTTTATTAAATTTCTGTGATGGAAACATTATGACATGTCTTCATTTCGTGACATCAAACACAATATCGTACACATTAATTATTTAAAAAACTTTATCCTACTTTTTACTAAACTAGATATAGATAGATAGTCTATGTAGAACATGTAAAAAAATCCAATTGTTACACGTAATTATTGTTCCTATGTTTTAATTACGAAAATGTACGTTGCCCTTGTATTAACTAAGAACAACAATTAAAAATCTATTGACTACACAAATTTCATTTCATGATTTAGTTATTTGCTTCCGAACCCGTACTTATCACATGCCACTTAACAAGTTTAATTTCATTATGAAAAAAAGACACGATTGTACACGATGTGAGAGAGTAGAGGACCTCCTACACTTAGTTCTCGAGTGTTAAATCAACGAAAAAGCTAGGTCGGATTTCCTAAAGGAAACTCAAAGATTTTCTTGACAAGAAAGTCCACGTCGGAAACCCATTTGCTTTCGAAATGATGCTCAGACGAGCTATCATTATATTAAAGATCTTACGAAGGCAGTTGATGAGTGAGATAGGACGATACTTATCAGTGTTTCTCTTAAGTATGCCAATAAGTTTGATCCTACGCCACAAACTTTTTGCCATACTTAAGAGAAATAAGTTTGTGGCGTAGGATCAAACAAGCAAACTCCTACACTTAGTTCTCGAGTGTAAAATCAACGAACAAGCTAGGTTGGACTTTAGGAAACTCGATGTTCTACTGGCTTTCTCTTCTTTCTTCATCAAATTTTAAGTTCAGGGTTCACTGCCGATAGATTTATAAGTTACATTACAGACTCATTGAACCATAGATCTGAATATTATAAAAATACTCATTAACTGGTAAACTATTAAAGTAATATTTAAAACTTAAGCAATGTTGTTATATTTTTAAGCCGCCTTAATCACTAAAAAAAAAATTCAAGTGTATTGAACACGCCGCGCTGCACTGGTGTAATTCGCACAGCGATGTTTACACAACGGGTCAAATCAAACATCGCACCGGTTGAATGTGTAAACAGGCGGTTATCCATTGCTTTGAATTCCCATAGTCTTCGTGAGATTGGATCATACCTTATAATTAATTTACATATCAACAATTTACCTACTTTATTGGTTGAGTTCTACAACACACAAAATACCATCCGTATCATCTCGAAGTCCGTCGTTCGACAACTGAGCGTTTCTTAAGACATTGTGTGTCGCGCACGATTTTCATTGGTTCATTGTAATGCACCAAAGAAAAGAGCGGACCAATTCTTAAAAGGCCGGTAACGGACTTGCGAGCCTTTTGGCATTGTAATTATCCACGGACGGCGTTGTCACTTGTCAGATGAGAAAATCTTGAGGAAATGAAGAAATCTACCACAAACTTGACAATTAGAGATGCAATTGGTATGTGTAACATACATATAATATGTGGTGGATTACAAAATAGTTATAATTATAGTATTTATGTATATACTGCGGCACATGACAAGAGGTACAGAAAAGTGGAGCAAGAACGTATTACTGTTGACCATTATACAATAAACGCAAAAGAGAATTTATAAGGTGGATAGACCAGATTATGGAAAAAGCAGGTACATGGCAGAGAGTGGCACAGGCAGACAGAAATGATGGAAGTTGGAGGAGGCTTTTGCCAAAAAAGAGCACACAGGTTATAGAAATAGTTTGTGACTAGGTGGCTCATTATAATCCAAGATAAGTATTACAGTGTGTAGGGATTTGATGCATATATCATATTGGGCTTGCAAACCAGATATCGCAAGTTTCTTGACCCAATCATTTGAACAATAGACGCTAACTACTAACCTATTTTATATGAAGCCATATTGATCACATCTTAATGTGCTTGATCTACTATGAAGGCCAGTACAGCGATTTATAAAACAAAGTGATGCCTCATAGTAAAGACAGTTTCCATATAATTCGCTATTGGATTTCTCTTATTTGCCCCTTTAATGAAACATTGCCTGGACTTGTTTAAGCTATCGCGGAATATGCTTTAAAGGGCAAAGAATATCCATGGCGCTAAATCACCTGCATCATGAGCACACCCTCACGGAGATACCCTTACTTTTCCACCATCACACAACACAGCCGAATTAGAAATTACTTAGTAAAATGTATTGAATATTTTTTCTTGTTATTCCATCTTTGGCTTATCTTTAGAGTAATTGTTTTTTTTTTAATATATATAATTTATGTTCGGTGTCGCATTACGAAATAATGCATTTGCAGGCTTAGTATTACATATAATTAAAAAAATAAGGTATTTCAATTGAGATTACCTACAAAAACGGAAAATTTCTACTATTGGAAATTTTTATCTGCTGTTTTCACTGAAAATGACAATTGAAACGTAATGACAAAGAAAAAAACGTGAAACGCGAATAATTATTTGATAAGAGCTTGATAACGGCGTTCAACGACCAATCATCATTTGGCAGTAGCTGAGCAGGCGTCCACGCGGTCGGACGTCTGTCACGCGAAATTCGCGAACAAACGAAACTCGAAACAAAACTCGAATAGCCACAGTGCAAACGAAACTAAATTTCCATCGCAAGGTCATTGCTAGGATGTAGTGACATGACGTGTTGTATGCATAATTTTGTGTGTTTTAGTGATGATTGATTAGTTTTGATCGTCTTAAATTTAACCTTTTCATTTATGTAACACTGTTTACATGAGTTAATTAAAATTGTAAAGGAAATATGGTGGTGTTATCTCCGTGAGTCACAGCTAAATCCATTTAACCGCAAAAATGTTTTCATTATTTGTACAATAAGTGCGCTTTTAATTAAATTTACTTAGTTAAACAAATATTATTGAAACAAGTACATCTGATTTAAATATTTTTTCTCCATTACAATTAATAGTTACAACGTATATGAACATATCATTATTTAAGTTCCTAGCAGTCCTTGGCGATGTCCTTGTCTCTGACCATGACTCCATAAATTTGAAAACAATTGAATTTGGAATTCAGGTGTCAGTTCAAAAGTTGTTCTTATAGCGTACAGACGTAGGTAGGAAGTCGTGCCATAGATAAGAAATTAATACATGTGTTCAAAGTGCGGTGTTTGTGATATGAGATTTTCCATGGACCCGATACGGCATGTGCGTCAATTGTGATTTGGATGATAATGTCGCTCCAAGAGGTGAGTGGTTTTGATGATGGATTAAGAAATGGTACTAAGATGGAAATATGTATGAATACGGACAAAGCTTACAAACAAATCTTTAAATTATCTTTAGTTTATATTTGGAATTGTACAATTCCGTTATTTTCATACATGATTAAACTCACGACGTTTTATCTTACATCATCTTAGATAATATTTCGTGTAATTTTTGATATCGATCAAAGATATTATTTCCTGTTACATACCTGCATAATCTATTTTATTTAAATTTAAACCAATTTTATGACGAAGTTTCTGACAATTTTCACATTCAAATTACTTTTGAATAGTTTTAGTGTTGACGTAAATTTTATAAAATAACTATTCCGATTACGA